GTAATTTTTCACCCCTTTTCCTCCGCTTTGCAACTTTTTAACTATCATTTTTGGTTTCAGCGTGGTTCAAACTATTGGAAAACAATTCCCTTATGGGCAAATTTTGCCCTTTTTCAGCACCGTTCTTTCAAGAAGAAACCAGACTTCTTATTCCAGAATCTAATTGAATTGCGAATTTCGAAAAGGGCTCAACTCTGTTTTTTGAAATTTTACAGGAGAGACAAAAAACGTTTTATTTCAAACAGCTTTACTTAAAAGAGTCCAGTTTTTTTTCATTGTAATTATATGCTATTTTGTATGAGAAAATGATAAAATAATTGTCTTAAATTAAAATGGGTTGGAGAAAATCGATATTATAGTTGACAGAGTTGAGCCCTTTTCGAAATTCATGAAAAAAAATTAATCGTTTTAATGATAAAAGTATATTAACAAAACGTTTTACTAGGAAAAAACATTTTATTTATTTATTTATATAATTTTAAAATATAATTAATTTTTTTTTAACTCAAAAACAGTTCTAACATTTAAAAATAAACTGCTTTAACATTTTTTCAGTTACAACTCTTCTTCAAATTCGATGTCACCTTCTGTATTTGTCGGCCACTGAAAAATTTCTTCATAGGAATTTCTATATTCCTGTGGAATATATTGGCTTAACTTTTGCAAATCGATGATTTTCAATCTGTTAATTGGCAACTTTGAGGAATAGCAAGGAAATTCTTGATGGCAAGGAATTTTTGCACAAACATTTTTTCTTTTTAAGAAGCAAAAAGTTTCAATGCCTATTTCACTGCCAATGCTGGGACGGCATAAAACTATACCTGGCTTTTCAGGGTTAAAATTGAATTCGAAATAAGTTGGCACTTGGAAGGAAACTTTATCATTCTTCTTAACGCTTTTTCCGTAGCTTTTTTCTGATAAGGGTTTAGTTTTAAAATTATCTTTGCCCCACGATTTGAAGTCGATGATGTCAGAATATGTCATTATTTTAACGTTAAATTTCTCATTTTTGGCACTACCAAGTATTAAATCAATATACTGTTCTTGAGTGAATAAACGGTCCTCTCTTTTAATTTTACGTTTCACAGTCGCAGAATCTCTATCGCAATCGTTAAAAGAGTGTCCTCTTTGCGGAAAATAGAGAATAATTTTTAATTTTCGGCTGGCTGCTAAAGACAATAGAAATTTAATAACGATATTATTCTTATTTTGCCCAGGACAACCATCACAAAACAAGTGTAACACTTTTATTTCTTCAGGAACATTTTCTTGTATATAGTCATTTAAAAACGATGTCACTTCGTTGGACCCCTTGAGAGCTTGACCTTCGTGATAAGAGTAAAAAGTTGCTTTCCCGGTTTTCATATTATCCACACAAAATTCATAAACCCATAGTTGGCGAGAATAGAACACTTCTTGGACAGGTAGACGTGGAAGTGGAAGATTTTGCATATAATCAAACGACAATCCCATAATAGTGCTGCCCTGCTTTTGGCATTCTTTAGTAATTTTTGTGGCTTTTGTGTAAAATTTAGAGGCTTCGCTTTTATGATTTTCAAGTTCAATTTTAGCTTCATTTTTCGAATTTTCGTCCATATGAGGAGTTTTCAACCTAACTTTAATTTCTTCACATTTCGAACACACATCTATTTGTGGTCTTCCAAATTTCAAATCAAATTTTTCATTGAAATATTTTTTGAAAAATTGGTAGTGTACTTTTTCATTGGGATGATCTAAGCAATATCTCTCATGTAATATTTTTGTATTTAATGAAGACGATAAATAATGTGTCACAATATTATTTGAATAGTGGATTTTCTTTATTGGAATAGATTCTATAAACCGATGAATCAAAGCACACTTTTCTCCTGGCACAGTATTACTCCTAGAACCTGCAGATTTTCCACGCTCGTCGTGAGGAATTTTATGTTTAATTTTTAGGTCCTTTAATCTCCTTATTCTCTTTTCAGATACACCATGCAAACTTAAAAATGCTTTCTTACATATTAATTTTTCATTTCCCTCTACTTCAACGTAATATTTATATGAAAAGTTCTGAAGTTTCGATTTTTTAGAATTGGGGTCCTTTGAGTCAATTTCCAATCGTTTTAATGTATCCTGTACACAATTCACCTTTATTAATGACTGCAAATAAATATCCTGTTCATTTTTAGTGTTGAAATCATTAATTCGTTTAATAATATTATTCTTGATGTCTTCGGATAGGTCGAAACATTCTTGACGACACCTGAGAATACAAATTTAATATTTATATAAGTTTTTTTATTTATATATTTTTTATTATAAGTTTATTTATCAAAAATTGAAATACTTTATCATTGCCTAATTAAATTAAAATTAAATGAACAATCACTTACGTGCAATTAGGTCCAGTTTTTCTTTCAGGAATTAATTCGCCTACATGATTTTCGTGACTTAACCCTTTCACTTTTGCTTTTTTTATTACTACATGTTTATAATTTTCATCATTTCTTATTCCTCTTTTTTTTATTCACAATCTCTTCATTTTCTGAGCTGCTCGAACTCATTATATTTCTTTTTTTTCAAGTTTATTTACGAATTGTATTTTTAATATTTTTTCTTTGGTTATAAGTCAAATAAAGAAACAACTTCATGTTTATATCATTAAATTGTTCTCTCACAGTTGAGCCCTTTTCAAAATTCATTTAAAATTAGCAAATCTTTAAACGCTTTTTTTTCCACGAAAAGTACATCGGATGAAGTTTTTCTTTTGAGAAAACATTAATGAATGTGTAATAAAGCAAAAAATGTAAAAAAGTGAAAATTGAAAAAATTCCGAGTTGAGCCCTTTTCGAAATTCGCAATTTAATTCAAATTTCGTAATAAATACAGATCAGACAGGATGGCGACATGAACAAAGTGACACACACACTGTAAAATAAAGGTTCTAAATTATACCTGATTTTCATATTAAAATAGAACAAAATTACGATTTAGAACCAAAATTGGTACTAAATTAGTACCTTTCTTTTTACAGTACATACACTGCACAATACTTAATTACAGCATCAGGAAAATTATTACCGATAGTTTTCATTTTAATTTATAATTTTTTATGTATTTTTTGATCGACATTTTCAATTTAATAAGAAATGTCAAACTATTAATTTTTTGTTTTTCATCATGGATTCTAAAAAAAACCCTTACGAGAAAAGTTTCAAGTAAAGTCCAATCAAAAACCTCCGAGTTTACAATTTTAGCACAATTTAATGAATTTTTAAAATATGCGTTCACTGTATATTTAAATACTATTTTAATAACATATTGCAGCCCTGTAAAATTTGTGGAGGGACACTTGACGACCTCTCCTTGTAAGCTAACATGTTCTAGGGCAGAATGCATGGAAGTCATACTGGGGTGGTTTTGACAGGACCAAAACAATTGAATTTTCGTCTTTCTGGTGTTCTTGAATATTCGGGAATCACATCCAAATATATGCACCAGGAAGCACTTCCCCTGTTGAACTCGACCAACGACAGGCGTTGATGATCATCGAATTTCCAAAAATTCTCGATGTGATATATAAATAAAGAAAATACGAACGGCAGAATATGTCTCAAGATTTGTCATAATCTTTGATCTCACGAGCTGGCAGGACTACGACATTTTGCGTACCCAATGAGTCCCCCGTAGGTCAGCAGTTACGGAACGGGTCTGACTGTAACTGGTCTGTAACATGTTTGCTGGGTAGTTTGTATATCTTGAAATTTTTACAGATCCAATTCGGTTCGATTGTCGAAGTCATATTAAGTTGAGTCTCCAATGTGAGAGAAGGTGCGCATCGATGTTCATAGCTATAGATATACCACATCATACTTTAGTATACCTATAGCTATGAACATCGATGCGCACCTTGTCTTATTGGAGACTCAACTTTAGGGCTCTTCGATTATAGGTCTTAGATTACGTAGGTGCGACTGGATTTCGATCCCTGTAGGTTACAAATTTTAATTTAATCGTAAGAATTTAATGTTAGTACTTCCAAGCATTTGAGTCCTTCAGGGTGGAGTCCCATGACAGCGTTTTGCGTTGCGTCGTAATGGGAGAAAAAAAGACGCAAATATACGTTTGCTGCATTCTCTCTCATTACAACGCAACGCAAAACGCTGCCATGGGACTGCGGCCTCAAAGGCAGAATCGATAGTACAAAATTTGAAATTTTACTATTTTTATAATATTTTTACGTGTCGAAATGGTAAAAGATTTATTTATTTAATGCAAATTGAGATTTATTTGAATCAAAAAATACTTTGTTTTGATGCAAATACATTTTGTATTTGGATTAAAAAATTAATTATTTGACGCAATGAAAGGGATATAAGTCTGAATTAAAATAATTAATTATGCCGAATAATTGAATATTTAATACAAATAAAGATTTATTTAAAAAAAAAAATTTTATTGAAAACATTATTGAATCAAGTAATTTTCATAATTGATTTAATGCAATATTTATTCATATTAATATATATTTATTTATTTTTTTGATTTATTTTATATTTATTTATTTTTATTTATTAATATTTATATTTTTTTTTTAATTCGTATTTCGTACAAATAAATATTTATTTGATACCATAAATTAAATTACTTATATCTAGTAAATATTTACTTAGTTCAAATAAATATTTCATGGATAATAGACAATTAAATCATTTAATTGAATCCCATAATTTTTATTTGATTCAAATAATTTTTTTCAGTATAGAATATAATAATCAAAAAAAAAAATCATCAGTAACGTGCATTAAAAAATCCTGCTTATTTCCATGTGTAACATATTACTCATTTTTATTTCATAAAAAATAGCACTACTTATTTAAGATTGTTTTCTTTCCCAGATAAGACGTAATCTTGCAACAAGCTTGCAGCAAGATTACGTGCTATTTAGGATTAGTATTCGATAACTCTCGTTTTTAATCTAAAATTACTAATAATTACTATTCAATTATCTGCAGCTGCCGCTAGACACAAGTACTCGTGGTGGACCATGGGCTCAAGTTGAAAATTGTTCCTACGAGCCGAATGATAATTCAATTCAAACACGTGTTCTTTTCAATGATTTATCAGTTTCTGGATTAGTATCGTTGGTTCCACGTGACTATCAAGCTCATTTTCCTTCAGAATCCTGCAGAATGACATTGAGACTTCGTCGAGCTGGTATTGAATTCTATACAAGTCCCATCGCTCGAGGACGAGGAACTATGCGAATTCGGACAGAATCTAGTTTCATGGAACCCAGATTTGCCTCCATCTATGCGTACGGTTGTCGTCCAAATAGCAGAATTGAGAAACAAATTAAGAGACAAGACAAATGGCCAACGCATCATAAACCTGATGAAGAGGTGAGATTTCCCACACACCTATCCTCTAAAGGGCCATTCAAGTATTACGTAAGCATATTTTTGAGGTTTTTAGACCCCCCCTCCGCCATCGTAAAATTTTTTATATGCATTAGGGCCATTTTTTCTAATGGAAGTAAGCAATAGCTAGACCCCCCCCTCCCCCTTTAATGTTTACGTAATTCTTGAATGGTCCCTAAGGCGGGTAAGGTTCTTTAAAAATGAATCAAATTTTGGCTAAAGTGGCGAGCTTACTATACTGTCAAGGATTCAAAATCCATAAATTTTAAAATCGTAGCTATTCCTTTTTTTATTTTTTTTTTACAATATTCATATTAATCGAATTTTCTCATTATATGCAAAATAAGAATGTGTAATATTTAAATGATTATAATTAGATGATTATAAAATATATCCTCATAAAAGAATAAAAATTTTCAGCTCAAACTAGTGATAAAATCTCCACACTTGAGTTACGAAGCAGCTGAACCGCGAGAGTTGGCGGGTGTCGCTAACGAAGAAGACGTTGCTATAGTTAACGAAAGTCTACAATCTCGAGAGTTATACGCACCAGATGCTCGTTTAGGATTATGGCGCAAAAGTAATTGGATCACGAGGTCGGACAATCGTAAAAGAAGATCACTGGAAAGTGTTACTAACAATTTAAAACTACCTGACAGTCAAATAAATAATATCGGTGTTCGTAATGATACCAGATCCCAGAAGCAGATAAGACCTCTTCATATAGCAAAGAACCGTAAATATGAAAAATTCCGTAATCAATCGAAGCTTCATCACAACATGTTTGATAAAAATGAAACTAAAGTTCCATCAAGAAGAAGAAATTTAAAAGATTCTGCAGCTGTTTTAGCCAAATGGGTTGAAAAAAATATTTCAATAATGATCGACAATAAGACTCTTGATTCTAAATGGAGATTGAATGAAGAAAAAAATATTTCAAATAATTCTGGAAAGGATAAAATTTTCACATTGGAAAATGAAGCTCCAAGAGAAACAAGAGAAATTCTTCTTGATGAAAAACTGTCTAATGATTTCGAAGTGACTAATAGAGATTGGCAGTCGAGAGAAAATGTGGCTAGAGAAATGGAAGATGTATTTTTAAAAGGGGCCAGTCAAGCAGTAACGCAGTATATTGAAAGACAATTGCATACAGCTATCAAAGAAACACTAATGCTTTCTATGGGTTATACAATAAGCTATGGATAGACACTTATAATCAATCAATCAGTATTTCTTCTGTAAGTCAGAATTTAAAAATCTTAAATTAAATTTTTGAATTTAGATTTAAGTTTCTCTATACTTATTTCTCATTTTTAGACTTAATATCTAATATTCTAGTAATGTTTTCATGACACCTTGACAGCATAAATGCATAAAATCTAGTACGAAAATAGAAATGATATTTATTAACGCGAATATTCTCAAAAATAGAGATGGGACATGATGGTGCTCTGGTTTTTCGAAGTTACGAAAAGATGTATTAGTCCGTTCATATTTATCAGCATCAGAAAAAACTGTTGTACCGTCAATTGATTCCCCTTCAAAACTGTACATCTCTCACAAGAAAATTTAGATTTATGTCCAACCATATTTTTTAACAAAACTCGTGCTGGAGTATCACCAATTATACATTTTATGCCAACCTTGAAAGTTTTGCCAAACATTCGCAATCTATTAGAAAAATACCCTATAGAAATAGGGTAAGTGTACTAATTCCTGCGGTATTTTGGTCAAGACGTCTTTTAACTATAAAATATAATTTTTATATTGATCAAATTGAACTTATGTCTTATTAAATTTGTAGTTTGTGTTATTAAGATATGTTTACAATAAATAACATCTCTAAAATATAATTTATTTTAATAAATTTAATGAATTAAAAATAATATTCAATGCGTTTAATTCTGCGCGTTTGAGTCAGTTGCTGCGCATCAGTTGCTGCGCGAATTCAATAAGGTAGTCCAAGTTGGGTGGGGGAAATTCAATATGGCTGACATCAGCTGATTTACCGGAGGACAAACAATGCATTGAATTCAATGGGACAAATCAGTTTTTTAACCATAACTTTTTAAATATTCATTTTTGAACCATAGTGTAATGGAAAATTATTCTTTATTTATCGAAATCTATTTTTTAAAACAATAAAATTTAATTTTTTGGTTTTATTGTTTTAAAAAATAGATTTCGATAAATAAAGAATAATTTTCCATTACACTATGGTTCAAAAATGAATATTTAAAAAGTTATGGTTAAATGATTTGTCCCATTGAATTCAATGCATTGTTTGTCCTCCGGTAAATCAGCTGATGTCAGCCATATTGAATTTCCCCCACCCAACTTGGACTACCTTATTCCTGTGGGTCAGTTTCTGCGCATAATTTTGTGCTTATGTGTATAATATCGCAAACTACTATGAAATCAAAATGGGACAATGATTTTAATCAATGTTTAATTGAATAGAATATAAATTTATTAAAAATAAATATACAGTACGAAAACCTACCACGTCAGTCATGTCCCATGAGTGGGAGTGAGACAGACTTATGCGATTCCCATACTTTCCTATGACTGACGGATAGCTTTTCTTACTGTATATCATATATTAACAAAAGTAACAAATAATTTCTGAATTATCACATTTTTGAAACATTTAGTTAAAACTTAATAACAGAATTTTTCCTTAATTAATTTATGTATTTATTAAATTTTCTTTAGTTTTTCCTCCATAATCTTCATTTTTTCTTTCATTTCCATAATTTTTTCTTGCTCTTTTTATTCTTTTATTCTTTTATTCTTTTTATTGTAACCAGTCTTAGTTGATTTTCTGAGGGCGCAGAAATTAAATCAAGCCCAAATTCTGTGTTAATTACTACTCTTAAAAATAAAATATAATAACAGACAAAAATAAAGTAAAGTTTAATTTTTCTTTTAAAACAAGGTTTTCTTTATCTGAAATCATCATAATAATAACCACTTTAAGTCTAAAAACAATAATAAAGCCTTTTTTATGTAGGTATTTTTGCATTGCAAGCAAATTTAGCAATGAAAATAAATAAAACCTTGCACACGTCAACTTTTAATTAAAATAAAATACATAAATATTAAGTTTTGGTATATACTTCCTATATCTATTTTAAAACTTACATCGTTAAGTAATTTTTAAAAAAAAATTCAAAATTATTTGTGCCCTGAACAAATGTATTCACTTAAATTATTAAAATGCCGCAGAAACTGAAGCACCCGCAGCAATTGACGCACTTACCCTATACTGATAAATTCATTAACGAACCGATCCAAAAATAGTTGAGGTGTCTTTGATTTATTTTGACCTTGAAAAATTGCAATTTCAAAAGGTTTATATATATCTGGCTCATAGTGTATAGAGTACCTTTCCTGATAGTACCCAAAAACTATCAGTTCCAGATTTTGACACAGGCATACCATCGCCATGAATTTGTAATTCTCTGACATTGTCTTCGTGCAATTTTTAAGCCTTCCCGAAAAAGTTTTAAAAACATAGAATATTAATGTATTTCTAGTATTACGTACTATTCACTAATTCACTTAGTTAACTTTATATTTACTCACACTCAGTGAGTGAATGAATTTATCAATGAATTAAAAGTGTTTTAATTTATATAATATATGGCCTGTATTAGACCCTACGAAGTATTACCACAAACAATACGAACCCTTGAACAAATAACCTTTGTAAATTAGGATTAACTCTGAGAACCCAGATAATATTTTCTTTCTCCCTTTATCGCATGGAAGACTAGATAAAAATATGATACTTGAAATGTAACTCAAGCGGTAACGGAAATCTTTCTTTCTCACACCAAGGCATATAAATAATAACTTCTTCGTTTAACATTGTACTTCTCTATCTCAGCAATTCAAAACGACATAAGACTATCTTCCTCTAAAAATCTTACTTTTCTTTACTTTGTCTACTTATAGACTTCAAATAAGAATATTTCTTTTCAAGTTTCACCATGTATTTTCTTACTCTTTCCAAAACAATTAACATAAGAATGTCTTCCTTTACCGAATTTGCATATCTACTCTTTTCATATAAGGATATATGTATGCCATTAAACATAACAAAAAATTTTAATTTACTTTTGAACTTTAAAGAAGTTTCACAACGAAGTTTCAATACTAATAATCAGCTTATGGAATGTAGAAAAAAATAGTTTATTACATCTGTTGTTACATTTGTCATCAAATTGTTAAACAATCTAGATTTATGGGCAAATGTTTATAGAAGGTATAATAATTTTAAAAAAATTGAGACATTTTAATTTCGAATTAAAATAAACTAACCCTTAAGAATTATTGTAAGTAAGTGAAGCGTCATTTTTAGAGTCTTGACACTTATGGTTAAGCAGTTAATTAAATTGTAAAACGAATTTCTATTTATTTTTGAAAAATCTTCTATCGTTATAAAACCACTGTATTTATTAAAAGTATTTTCATTTATACAAATCTACAAAATGAGAGGTAAAGTTGAAATGAAAATTACAATTTGTTTAAATTTTACATGTAAACATGAGTAATAAGTAATTTTTTACATATTTAAGAAAAAAAAAAATTTTAACTCACTGTTTTTATTTGGTATTTATAATTAATTCCGATTTCATTGAATAGGTATAATATAAATTGGAGGGAGTTTTTATTTAACATTTTAATATTTATCACTATTGCATTAAATACATTTTGTTTTTATTTCTACTTTGGTTACCTTCTCATTTAATTATGTTTTAAATAAATAATTATCCTTCCATTTATGACGATTTAATTACTAATTAATACTTTAAATACTACATTATTGTATTATTAATAAATACTGAGTACCTTGCAAATTTGATGTTATCATATTGTCAAAATAAAAACTAATTTTCTTTGACAAACTACATTTATATTTTTAAACAAAACTTTCATCACAAATTAGATTCAAGTTCCTTATATCAGAAATTATGAAAAAATGAAAAAAATTTAGTGATCTTACGAATTTCATAGAAAACTAATTCCATATACAGTTAACGACTTACAATTTTTTATATATGAAAAATTTGTAGTAAGTTATTACGCTTGTATACTTTACTAGAAAACTTATTCAGAAATAAAAATTAAATATTTTATCGAACTTTTGAATAAATCAATTAATTTTGATACAGCTGTTCACTTATTTGTAAACTTAACTAAAAAATAAACTCACAACTAAGTACATGAAGATTTTTAAATAATTTTGTAATATTATATTTTATTAAATTAATTTTTTCTCACTCCTAATAACAAGAACTTGAGTTCAATTCCCCGCAAAAATGATCTATTCTCTTGCAATTATTAAAAACTAAAATATAAACCAGCTAAACCAAAAAAAGTAAATTGTCTTCATAACTGTAAAACATATAATGTGGCTTTTTGTAAATTCTCATAAAAAAAGAAACGAAATCAAAATGAACATGAAGGAAGAAATTAAAATTTACTAATATTTTTCCTTCAAAAGTTGCATAATAACTAAAGTTTGTTCGTAAATTGTAAAATGTAAAGCAGTAGTGACGACAGCCTTCACCTGGCTGGGCACTAAACCTTTAAAAAGACCATTAACACCCTCTCGTTTAATTGTTATAATAATACAATCTTTCATTCCAGTGCAGTGAAAGAAAACTCCGAATCCTTTTCTCCCATGTTGAAAGCCTTGAATTTGTAGTCTTTTTCTTATCAAATCAAATGGATATATGATCGTCTTGGCAGCGAGTCCGGCAAGACTTCCTGCTGTCATAGTACCTGCTATAGTAGTCCTGGAATCATTGGTAAACTTAATATAAAGGTCCTTGAATATTCCAAAGAAATAAAATTGAAAGGCTGTGTGAGGTGCAATTTGTAAAATTGTTGGGAGTAAGCCACGGAAAAAAGCCTTTGAAGATTCTTCTTGAAAAATGGACCTAACAAGAAAAAAAGGAGTACTTTAAAAAATGTTCTCATATTTTTATTTATTTATTTATAAAATAATAAAATAAAAAATTTTATCTCCGACAAGCACGCTAAAATTGCATATTCACATTCTCAAATAACAGAATATTTTAATATAACAAAATATTTAAAACTTTTCGATTTCAAAAACCTTTAATAAAAATGTCTTCATATCGATATGAAGACATTTCCATTAAAGGTTTTTGAACTCGAAAAGTTAAGAGTTCGGGAGATTTGTCCATGTATGAAAATTGATTGAAGTACAAGTATAATAAATGTTTTGAAACTAATTGTAAATAAATTGTAAATAATTCTATTATACCGACATATTAGAACTATAAAGTGTCTCCGTCAATTAGTATCAAATAAACAAACCTATGTTTATATAAATATTCTTCAATTTCAAATGAAATGTTCCAAGAATGTGAAAGTTCAATATCACGTGCTATATGGATTTTAGTATAAATTTTGTGGATATTTACAAACAAGAATGGAGTAATCCATTATAAACTTTGTGCTTTGATGATTGAGCAATTAGTCTAGTTCTTATGGTGTCAAATGGAAACGTTAACGTTGTGCTCACAGCTCCAGCAATTGCACCTTCAGCAAAATGTAAAGTATTTCTCCATTCATGGACTATTTGATATTGACTTAAATGTTGTGTTATTAAATTGTAGGAATAAAACTGTAAGAAATAATAATGTTATTAAGAATTATACAATATTTTATTTTTATATATGTGACGCGAACTAAACAAAGAGACCTTAGAAGAAAAAAATATTATATTATAAACACTGATTTTAATTTGCATCAAGTAAAAAGAAACTTTTAATCAAGAAAAAAGTAATGCTAACATAACCTTTGAGTGATTTGCTTCTAAGGTCCCTTTCTTTAGATCGCGTTACATATATCTATAAATAATGTACTTCATTGAAACTTTGCAGAAATTAAAAAATGTTCAGCAATTCAAGTTTAAATTAAAATACCAAAATTTTTGAATGTTATTTTTTAACCCTCCATATTTGTTCAAAAATAAAAAAATACCCGTATTTTTTAAGATGGTTAAAGTTTATAGGTCGGTTTTTAGCCCATGAAATCAATAGGGTGCTGAAGTAGTTATTTAAACGAGTTTCAAAAACTGCATTCCACTGTTTATTTAATAATTTTCTAATATTAACTATTTTTATTCAATTTCTGAAAACTACTATAAATGTAATTATTTTATAATTATATATTACATAATTATAGTACTAACGTAAGTCATGTACATAGCTCGAGAGATTCAACTTTTTAACTTGTAATCACTGAGGTTAGACACCATTAAGTAAGTGTTTTCACTAAGATCAAGATATATGAGTGATTCAATTTAGAATTTCACTTCCGGTCACTGCAATTGTTGATTTTGCAATGTTGGAATTTGAGATCGTTATAAATTCATTAGAGCTGTGTAAAATAATTCGAACCGAACTGTTCGAATTTTTTCGCCTAGTTCGAATGTCGAAAATTTGACATTCGAGTTAGCTTATTTCGAATGTCGAAAATTCGACATTCGAACTAGCTCAGTTCGAATGTCGAAAAACCGATATTCGACATTCGACATTTCGGCGCCCCAAAACCGAACAAAACTCGGTTCGGTTCGAATTTCGCACAGCTCTAAAATTCATATATTTTGTTACTTGTAATAAAGCTTTAGATGTGCTTTCTCAAAAGTCATCAAAGAGACAAACTGATGATGATGAGGAGAATAAGAATGACATCACACCTTTCCGATGTAATTTTAGCAATTTGTCAGATAGACAAATAAGAGAAATGTTTATTCTGTCAAAAAAGACATTAAATTTGTAAAATAAGTAGCTTTAACTACTACCAAAAAAGTAATACTACATTGGATTAGACAATATTTTTAGTAGAAAACTAAATAAATAACTGCTTTTTTGAGGCATATTAATATAATACCCTTGAATAAATTATCTTGACCAACCTGGCTCATACCGTAAACAATAGATAATAATTGCGCTGGTACGTGTCCTTTCCATAATGCACTTACTCCTTCTTCCCTGACAATTAACGCAAATGCTTGCGGTAATGAACGATATTTACTTACAGAATGGTGTTTTATTGGTTCTACTTGAAGCTGAAAAAATTTATTACGACAATGTTTTTTGAAAAAAAAATAAAAAGACGTTTAGGGTAAATACGCTATAGGTCGGACACTTGAGGATACAATTATGCTTTTTTTCTTGAAATAACAATTATCTGTTTTTAAGCACATTATCAATGAAAAGAGTTATTCAGGATTAAAAATCATAAATTTGTTACAAATACTTTATTTAATACAATAAAAGCATTTTAATAAAAAATCACAAAAGCTTTAGCCGTAGGACATATTTTTCTACAGTGAGACATCAGTCAGACATTTTATAAAATAAAAAAGATAATTTTTTAATAAATTAATCATCAACAAAATTTTGTGCTACTCATTGCACTACTAGACAACTGTTCCATCTGTAGTCGGACACCATGATTTTTAAAACAAAAAACACGGAAATATCCAACTACCGCTACTAACTGTCCGACTATACCTTCATTTACCCTATATCTCTCAATGTTTTGTATTGCATGGGTGATTCTTTGCGTAATGTAGGATTATAGATAACTGAAATTATTTCATAGCATATTAGGTATTAACAATAATAACTTTTATTTTTAAACTCTTTGCGCATATTTTCATATAACATTAATTGTCAAGGAGTTTCATCCAACAGAATTAACATTTAAATAATTAAAATATTATTATTAATAGTATTTTCTAGAAGAACAAAAATATCAAAATTTTAAGGAAAAAATTTACAATCAAAAAATTTGTTTATACAATTTACATACCTATTACCTACATTTTTTGTCGTATCTCTTCTACAAAAATTTTAAAAAATTATTAAATTTTAATGAAGTATAGCTTATTATTAATACCTTTTGCCATGCTACCCTTCATACATAATTTATGTTTATATTCAAAATAAAAGAATAAACAAAATTATAAATCTCAAAAAGGAATCATTTTTAATTAGGTCATTGTTAAAATAACTATCCAAATACAGAGATCACAGTACTTTTTTTGAAATATAGGTATAAAGTTGAATTATTTTCTGAAAATAGAACAGTTTAAACTTAAAAATATCGGAAAGTGACAAAAAGTGGCAGAAGGTGAACTTGACAAATTTAAATTCTTTTGTTTTTTAAAAATATCCTAAACCAGATACGTGAATAGAGGTACGAATTTTCAAGGGAAATATTTAAAAAAGATGGTGAAAAATTTAAAATAGTTTTAATTTCAAATTATTTAAAAAAAAATTGAAAATGAATATATTGAAAATGACTCATTGTGTCATATTTAGAAAAATTATGTATAAACTTTAAAGTAAATAATAGTAATAATAAAAGAAGAAGAATAATTTTTGGAAATATTTACATCTGAAAAATATTTCAAGGGTTTACATGGGTCAAAACGTCTATAAAAGGTATGCTTTTTTAATTATTTTTTTCATAAAACAAATATATATTTTTATTTTAGCACATTTATATCTTAGAGGACACTATAAAATAAGTAAGGACAGTATTTTATGACGCTGAAAATTACTGGATTATGCCCTGAAAAACTGATTATTATGCGAAATTATGCGTTGAAAAATTAAAAAGTGCAAATTGATGCTTTTGAAAGAAAAACGTTATTAAGGACCCAAATAAAGCTTTTAACATTATGTTAATTTTTTTAAGAAAAACCACCAACATTTTTAAATAAAGCAACTTATTCTCTATAAATATAGAGTAAAGGTCATCATAAGAAATATGTTTTGCGATGACCACGGTAACAAGGAGCTGGTTTCTCAGAAATACAAAATTCAAACGAATTTAGTTAAAGTAAAAGATAAAAAAATGCTGTGGGTTCTTAGCTGTAAAAAGATATTGTTTGGGGTCATCCATAAAGCATACTTAATTTCCGAAATTTTATCCCCCCCATCTTGATACTTTTTCCAATAATGATTAATATGAAGCATGATATTTTATGGACCCCCCTACTCCTTCAAATATCACATGCTTTATGGACGACCCCTTTCTTAAAAAAGGAAATCATTCTATTGAGGTGAGGAGTAGATTTTTATGTATTAAAAAAGCCCACTAAACTCAAGAAAAATCGGATATTCAGTGCAGTAGTTTTTGAGAAATGGTGCGATCACCGATTTGCAAAATGCTGTTTTAAGAAAAACGAGTTTAAAATTTTATCATCCTCTTTCATTAGACGAAATTTTGTTCCGGGCTACAGGAAGCCGGACTTAACTGAACCTTACTTCAGATCTTTAAAGCTTTATATCTCACTCAATTTTTAAAATATCAACTTATTATTTTACAAACATATGTCTGAGACCCTACCCACACAGTACCGAAACTTTCCTAAAAATTTATTAAAGATTTACTTGCAAACTTCGAAGAATTTACTTGCAAAGTTAGCTCAGCATTTATTGAACTGGGGCATTTAAATCTTTGCAGAATTTTCACTAAACTTTGCAAGTAAGTACTTCCAAGCTTGCAAGTAAATTTTTAGTAAATATTTAGGAAATTTTCGGTGTTGTGTGGGTAAACTTAGAAAAAATACAAGAAAAGAAAAACCGATTTTTTGAAAATTACAACTAGGATTGCCCTTTTAATTATGGATGATTAATTTTATTCATAAATTTATGATAAAATGTATTTATAAACAGATATTTCGTTAATGCAGATTTAGACTGTGAATTATTTTTATATTTCTTGCACAAAAAATATAATTATGCCCAATTATGCGAGAATTCAAAAATTGTGCGATGAAAAAAAATTATGCGTTTTGATGCGACGTTAAATTTATTTTATTTTATTCATAAACATTATAATACGTAAAACTTTAAACTTTCTTCCAATTTTTGAAAATTATGCGATTATGCGCTTCGCACAAAGTATAGGTCTCTAAAAATAAGAAACAAAAAATTTTCATTAAAAAATATTAAAAATCAGGCCCGTAACAACCTCTTCCAAAAAAGTACTATTGCGGTGGTCACGATATCTTTTGACTGCTTCATCGAAAATCAAAGAATTAAATATTTTCTGTTAGTGGGTCAACATTCTAGAACTATAAGTGAAAGTAATTCTTGTTGGAAATTTTTGAATACAAAAAATTTTTTTAAATATACTTGCATTCCGACAGGTTTGACAGTAAGAATTTTTGTTTTAAATAGAAATTTAAATGTTTGAAAGCGTTTTTTGTAAAAAATTGCGATTTTCAAACCATTTAAACCAAGCCTCAAAGAACCTGTTGCTATGAGTCTAATTTTTAATATTTTTTAATAAAAATTTTTATAAGTTACTCATTTTATAAGTGTACTTTAAGATATAAATATGCTCAAATAAAAAAATTTATTTATTTTATGAAAAAAATTATGAAAAACAAACGTTTTATGGACGTTTTGACCCCTTAAGCATTTAGAATTTTTTGAATATAGTAAGTTTAGGCTTCGCACTCGATAATTACTTTTAAAAATAGCAAAAAGTAGCTTTAACACTGAAAAAAGTAGTAAAAAGTAGTAAAAACTAGCTAGCGAAAAATTAAATTTGACGATTAAAAAAAAACTCGTTTCAATCGATTCACAAAAATTTGATTAAGTATTTCCCTGACTTTTGGAAAATAATAAATAATTAATTTTTTATGCTAAGTATTTAAATATTATTTCAGTTTTACAAAAATTGAAATTTTCAAAGACAAACTGTTTAAAAATCTTTTCAAATTCAATTATTTCTATAAAAATTCATATTATAACGATTCTAATATTCAATGTTTATCTAAAATTTTTACTTAAATTAATTTTTAATTTAATTCTTGTCAGAAAGTTCTAGGAGAATTAAATTATTTAAATACAAAAATAAATAATTGATTTTAAATAATTGATTATTTCTTAAAATTGATTGTTTATGAAGTATTTTATGAAAATTTAAAGAATAATTGCATTATTTGAGGAATTTATTATAAATTAAATTTTCAAACAGAATTCAATTATTTAAAAATTTGTTTGTAAAAATCTTCGTAAGAATTCAATTCTTTTCATGAATTCAATTACTTATATTAGAATTTGCATTAAATTAGTCGAAAGAAATCAATTATTTAGAAATTTTAATAAAATTTTTCGCAAGAATTAAATTATTTTTCTAAATATTTAAATTCTTTCATGAATAATAAAATTCGTTGCAAGTCAATTCAATTTAGAGATAAGAAAGATTTTTGATTTTTGATGAAAATTAGGAAAAAGTCAGGAAAATAAAATATGTAATGGAATTTTTGTCAGTTTTGTGAAGTGTCTAAAACGAGTTTTTTTGTCAAGTTTAATTTTTCGATAGCTACTGGTTTTTTTAAACTTACAAGCTTTGCATTCATCTTCTAAAACTTACTATTTACTACTTTTTTTTAAATTTGCTACTATTTTGATACTTTTTCAAATTTCTGATACTAAAAGCTACTTTTTTTTTCACAAATTACATTAGTTTAAATCCGCTAATAATTGAAATAAAGAAATTGTTCTCAAAAATTTTAATAGAATTCTTAGAAACACTTTAAAAACATTTTAATAAATTCTTTAAAACGATTCAATTATTTTCAAAAATTTTAAGAAAATTTTTTTAGCAAGAATATAATTATTTTTCCAAATAACGAAATTCTTCGCTAAAATTTAATTATTTTCATTACCTACTATGTTAATAAAATTTTACAAAAGAATTCCATTAATTTAAAAAAAAATGTTAATTCACTCAAATAATGCAATATTATTCTTAAATTTTTTTAAAACTATTTTTTAAAATTTTGATAAAATACTACATAGAAATTCAAGTTTAAGAAATAATGAATTATTCAAGCCATTATTTATTTTTGTATTTAAATAATTTAATTTTTGTAGAACTTTATAACAAGAATTTATTTAAAAATGAATTTCAGTTAAAATTTTAGAATATTTACATTACTTTAAGTCCGCTAATAATTGAAATAAATAAATTATTCTCGAAAATTTTAATAAAATTCTTTAAAACGATTCGATTATTTTCCAAAATTTTAAGAACTTTTTTTTGGCAAAAATTCTATGAAAATTCCCTATTCGCCAGTCAGTCAGGGAAATCATTTAATGAAGCATTTTTTTTTTAAATTTTAATTTCAATTCTGTTGAAATTAGAAAACTTTAACGCAATTCTTTTAAACAATTCAACTATATATTAAAATTCTTTCCAGAAATTCATATTCAAAATTTTTTTAAAAAATTCTCGTCAACATTTCAATTATTATCTTTATAAATAGCAAAATTCTTCGCCGAATTTTAATTATTTTCAGGAATTTTAATAAAATTCATTGCAGAATTCAACTATTTTCATAAATAATAGTATTCATTACAAGAATTTAATTATTTTCAAAAGTAATAAAATTCAATTATTTTAAAAAACTTTAATAAAATTCATGGCAAAGTTTCAATTATTTTCAAAAATTAAAAAAAAATTTGCAGGTATTCAATTACTTAAAAATAAAATCTGCATAAATTTCTCCGAGAAAATCAAATGTTTTAAAATTCGGCATTAAATTCTTCGGAGTAATTCAATTATTTTCATAAATTTTAAAATTCCTTTCAGGGTTTACTCCAATTATTTTTATAAATAATAATATTTTCACAGATTTTTAATTATTTGAAATACATTTTTTATTAAATTTTTTGAAAATTATGAAAGTAGTCTACTACTTTCATTCATTACTTAGATATTAAAAATCATTGAATTGCGAAAAGTTTTTAAAAATAATTCAATTTTACAAAGAATTCTATTAAAATTTTTGAGCATAAAATTGAATTGAAGGAAAATCTTTTTATTTGTTTACGTTTATATTTATTTAAACATTATACTTGTTTTTCATCGACTTAGAATTCTAACATTATGTTATTATTATTTATACAATATATTCTTTAGAAGTTAAATTAAAAAATGATATCCTATTTTATTTATCAATTACGGTTTTCGAGATACGTTACAGTTTTCTTAAAAAAATGTTTTTTATAATAAATTTTAGATATTTGTAATCGTGGAGATTTTTAGATTCTGAATTTATATTCATTTCACTTGAAATGTTAAAATTGCAAAACTTTTGAGCAATAAAAATCAGGTTGGAGACCCGAAGCTCGTAACAATAGACCCACGATTCTATTGTGAAAAAAGGGCAGCGCACAAATTTCAAGTTTTAACGGTACTTTACATTTACCCACTATATTTCGGTGGGGCTATGTAAATAAAAAAGATGGATTCAATAAGAAATAATCACAATTCATAAACATCAGGATTCAACAGGAGCATAAAAAACCCTTCAGTTAGAATTAACCAAAAGCTTCAAGAAACGTCAAAGTAGTCACAAAACATCAAATTTTCTGACGTTTTCTTATTATTCCTGATTTTATTTTTAGTAGGAAAATCTATTTTTGAAACCTTTAAAATATAAACTTGATACACAATAGCTACCAATATATAATAAAAAAAAATTTTAAAAAAGTTTATCAGATTTTGCTAAATTATTTCTAAAAGATAAATAAAAAAAAATTACATCAAAAATTCAAGTTTGAAATTGATTAAGATGAGAATTTGAAATTTATATTTATTAAAATTTCTACTGTCCAAAGTAAAAACCTATTAACCGCATTTTCCGTGAGGTCAAAGTTCACTTAGGTTATAAACAAATCATGACCTTACGGAAAATGCGATTACTATAGGTTTTTACTTTGGACAGCAGATTTGGATGAATAGAAATTTAAATCAACTGAATTTCAGCTTAATTAAAAATAAAATGAATTGTCATTCTAAACATTAAAAGTTTTGACAAATTAAATTCACAGTCAACTAAGTAAAATTTTAATGAATGAAAATTCGAAGAAATTAAAATTAAAATTTACTAGAATATAAATTAAAATTAATCACACATTTTTAAAAACTAAACATTTGATTAAAAATACTTGAAAAATTAACAAAATAGGTCTGTGATCTCTGCAAATTTAAGTTAAAAATGCTGATACTTGCGACAATTGAAAAATGAAAGAATAATTTTAAAATAGAAAAGTCAACTTTACTTGAAATCTTGTCTTCACTACGTCTAATGGTTGAAATAATAGCCTCGTTATACATCCACTAACAGCTCCTGCAAAGGCTGCAGACGATGGTTCTGCAAGTTTTAGAGAATCATCCATATTCTATCCTGTTTCAATAACTTCATTGACTGCGTAAACATTAAAAAATGTTAATTTTATTATATAAATATGAAATGCAAATATGGTGTCACACACACAATAAATAGAAAACATGTGCTTGAATTTACGAACATCGTTAAAAATACAATTAATAATATTAAAATCTCGATTAAGTCAACAATCGAAAGTATCCAACAATTATAATTAGAAACAAAGAAAATGTCAAAATAACTGAACACAGCAATAAATATTTATTATTTACAGATAAAGCATTGTCACGTACGAATAAATTCTAACCTCAAAATTTCCATTCCTTCATCCGGCAACGTTTTACTGTTTTTTACATATACAAATTTGCACTAAATACAAACTGCTTATGATGTTTAAAATCTTGTTGACTTCAAATATCGAAAATTAACTCAATAAATTCATGATAAGCGTGGGAAAAAATGTAAACAAACATTTTTATTGCTCTATCCACACATCAAAGTTGTGTCACTTTTGTCCTCGCGACTACGTGATCCATTTGCTGATCTTAATTTAAAAATAATGTAACTTACGTAATATATTTAAAATAATAAAAGAAATATTGCCTAATTTTTAAATTGTCAATAGTTTTATTTTAATAATTAAAAAAATGTTTCAATTATTATTAATTAAGGCGGTGTGAATGCAAGCAAAACTTGAATGACAAGTTTTCGTTATTGCGAAAATAAAAAGAAAATTTTATTAATGCAATTAATATATGTATCTAAATCAAGTTTATTTTTTATTGCTTGACATATTTTCACACTGACCTTCATTTCACGAGATCCGAGGTCTATATATAAATATTAGTTGTTAATGATTTCGTTTCAGGCGGTAAATAGACGTGAAGCTTTATTATTCACCTCATATAGTTTAAAACAAATTTTTATTAATTATTACTGCAAAAATTATTAGGACATATAGTAAATATTGAAATTATTTTGTAGAATATGTTTAAATTAATGATTATATTACCTTTTTGTTTTTTGGTCAGTGCGTTGCCACAAGATGAGTTTATATTTGAAGTTCCAAATAAAGTACATCCTATCGTTCCTGATATAGGTATATAAAATTGTGCAAAATATCAATTGATCTATACGTTAATTTAATATAACTATATATGCAAAGTGCTGTCATCTATTGTGATTTTCAATAATAAATCATTCCCTTCAATTTCATAGCAAAAATATCATCTGAAGATTTGATGATTCTCCAGAATTCAGATCAGGATCCGGAAGTGAGGCCAGGATTATTTGAAGGTGATATTGCCATGTCTAACGAAGTAAGTTATGACTCCAGGGTTGCAGAAAAAAATTTTATTTTCTTTCTCCCTGATTTTCAGAAAAAAAATAATGACTTTTTCTCTGACCCTAAAGAATATTCTGATTCACTCTAAAAATTATTAGATACTGAAAAAAATGTTCCATTACATTTGTTTATGAATTTTTTTAATTGTAAAAAATTATTCGAAAACATCAATACATTTTTTTTAAATAAACTATTTAATCATTATTTTTTTTTCATAGAAACTAAGATTTTCAAAAAATTTCAAATTAAAACATATGCGAAATACAACGATTTTAATTTCCAAAAACTTTTTCAAAAAAAATTAAATTATTTACAAAAAGTTAAAAAAAAATTTAAATTTTAAAAGAAATTTATTAATTTTGAAAATAATTTAATTTTGCAATGAATTTTATAAAAATTCCTGAATATAATAATTGAATTTCGGCAAAGAATTTTACTATTTGAAATGTTATTCTATTTTCCATAAACTTTTTAAAAAATTGAATTATTAACAAAAATTTTAATAAAATTTTTTGCAAAAATTCAATTATTTTTACAAGTAATAAAATTTTTTACGTGAATTCAATTATTTTTAAAAGTAATAAATTTCTTCTTCAAAATTTAATTCTTTTAAAAAATTCTAATAAAATCGTTCGCAACAATTCAATTATTTTCATAAATATAATAAAATGCTTTTTAGAAATTCAATTATTTAAAAAAAAATTTAATTAAATTGCACACAGACATTCAATTATTCTTAAAAATTTTAATAGAATTCTTTATCAAATTTAATTATTTTAAAAAACTTTTCGCAATTTAATGATTTTTAATATCTATTTTCATAAAATTTCTCAAAAGAATTCAATAATTATTTTGAAAAAATATAATAAATTTCGTTGTAAGCATTTAATTATTGTCATAAATAATAGAAAAAAATTTATATAGGATTTCAATTATTTTTAATACAATTTTAAATAAATTCCTCGAAAAATTTATTTTCAAAAATTTTTTGCAAGAATTCAATTACATTTCACAAATAATGAAATTCTTCGCTAAAATTCAAATCAAATATTTTCAAAATCTACTATTTTAATAAAATTTCTCGAAGTAATTCAATTATTTAAAAAAAATATCATAAAATTCTTCACAAGATTTCAATTATTTTTAATACAATTTAAAGTAAATTCCTCGAAAAATGTAATTATTTTCAAAAATTTTATTGAAATTCTTCAAAAGAAATGAATTATCAATTATCAATTATTTTTAATAATATTATTGTAAAAGTTCCTTGAGAAATTTTAAATCCATTTGTATACAATATTCAATTATACGAAAATTCTATTATTTACATATTTTCCAATTAAATATTTAGAAAATAAAAACTTGAAATAATTTTTAAAAAAAATTCAATTAAACTTTTTCAAAAAAATTAATTTTACAGAATTGTCAGTTAAAAGTATGAAAAAAATTTTAAAATTCGATTATTTCTAAAAATTGCAATTATTAGTAAATTCTCCAAAATTCAATTATTATTTACAACTTTAACTGAAAGTAATTTCTAAATTAATTTTTATTAGAAAATTCTACGAAAATTAAATTATTTAAATACAAAACATAGATAATTTATTGAATAATTAAATGTTTCTTAAAATTTAATTCTTAAATTAATTAAAATTGTATTAAAAACAATTGAAATTCTGCAATGAGTTTTATTATTTATGAAAGTAATTGAATTATTGAGAAGAATTTCATAAAAAAAGTTTCAAACATTTCATTTTTTTCAAAAAAATTTATGCAAATTCTATTTTTAATAATTGAATTCCCGTGAAATTTTCATTATTTTAGAGAATAATTGAATATTTGTGTAGAATTTTGTCAAAATTGTTTTTAAATAATTGAATTCTTTTGGAAAATTTATTTTAAAAATAATGGATATACAAATTATTGAATTAGGAAAAATTTCTGAAAATAATTGAAATTTTGCCATTAATTTTATTAACATTTTTGAAAATAATTGAATTACCACGAAGAATCAAAATGCAAAATTTTAAAATATTTAATTTTTTCGAAAAAATTTATGCAAATTCTATTTTAAAATTTTGAATTCCAGTAAAATTTTTATTTTTTAAAAAAATAATTGAATATTCATGTAGAATTTTATAAAAATTTTTATTTAATAATTGAATTTTTTTGAAAATTTTTCTTAAAATAGTAAAATATTGAAAAATTTGAAAAATATTTGAAAATAATTGAAATTTTGCCATGAATTTTATCAAAATTTTGGAAAATAATTGAATTTTATTACTTTTGAAAATAATTAAATTCTTGTGATGAATACTATTATTTATGAAAATAGTTGAATTCTGCAATGAATTTTATAAAAATTCCTAAAAATAATTAAAATTCGGCGAAGAGTTTTGCTATTTATAAAGATAATAATTGAAATGTTGACCAGAATTTCTTTTAAATTTGTGAAAATAATTAAATTTCTGGAAAAAATTTTTATATTTATTAAAATACTTGAATTCTTTCAAAGAATTGCGTTAAAATTTTTAAAATTAAAACTAATTTTTTTAGAATTGAAATTTTTCCAAAAATTATTTCATTAAATGTTTTATAAGTAATAACTTTATGATAGTTCTTCAATAGAATTAAGTTATTCAAATTAAATTATTGGCAGAAATAGAGAAAATTGAAGGTTTTTTTTAGAATTCGTGGCAATTTCATAGTTTATGAGGCAAACAAAAAGACACAAAAATTCAGAATTTTTTTATAAATTCTAAACATTTAATTTTTTCAGTACTTTTAATAAAAATCCCTTACTTTTCTCTGATTTCCCTGACCAATTCTACTTTCCCTGAATTTCCTGATTTCCCTGACCTGTGCAAACCCTGATGACGCATATTTTATTTATTAGAAAATAATTTTAAATTTCATCAAATTTACTTTTCCAGTATTACAATCACTGGCGAATAGGCTTACGATGGGATGTTTTTCCAGAAAAAATATGGGAAAAGAGAACAGTGCCTTACGTAATTAGTCCATTATACAGTATGTCATAAAATATTGAAGCGGATCACAGTACCTTTTTTCTTTGAAATAGGTGAATTACTTTAAATGACAAACAAAAGTAAATAAAATAAGTTTACAAAAACTGATGAATGGAAACTGAATTCAAACTTAATTAAACATAAGATGAATTGAAATTAAACAAAATTAAATTCAGAGTCAACTGAGATTTTATATATTGAAATATAAATTAATTAGAAATTATTAGAAACTAAAGTTTCGATTGAAGATATTTGAAAAATTTACAAATTATGTGAAATAGGTGGCAAAATTGAAAAAAAGGGGAAAAAGTGAAAAGGTGACAGTCTGTGATCCCTGACATAAAACAATCAATACTTCTTTTGAAATTATTTGTTAAAATTTACTAAAATTGTTTCTTCCAGAGCCATCTGATTATGTAACTATTTATAAAGCTTTAACCTATTTGAATTACATGACCTGTGTCAAATTCATTCCATGGAACGGAGAAGCCAAAGATTTTGTTGTTATATGGCCAATAAAATATCCACAAGGGTTCGTAAAGCCAACACCAACATTTTTAATAAAAGAAAGTAAACGCTAATTTTTCTTCTTTTTTCCAGGTGTTGGTCATATGTAGGAAAAACCGGCGGCGTACAAATTTTATCGTTACAACCGCCAGATCAAAAAGGACCCAACTGTTTGGGAACTGAAGGAAAAGCAGTTCACGAACTGATGCATGCCCTGGGAATTTTTCACGAACAAAGTAGAGCCGATCGCGATAAATTTGTGAAAGTCAATTTTGATAATATTATACCAAGTAAGTTATTAGTATAAAATTAAATAATGGTAAATTCGTTTATATTATTTTAAGTATTCAGGTTAAATAAGTTTTATGATTCTTAATGTAGGTACATCATTTTTATTTGAAAAACATTGAGTAGAGCTAAGCACAATAAAAGTAAACAATCTTTTACTTTTCTAATAACTAGAATTTTAATACTTATAAGCATTCTTTTAAAAATCGATGCTTAAATTAATTAAATTAAATCTCGCTGGAGTGCCTCCGTGCTGGTATTAGTTTTCTAATTTAATAACTGAAACGTAAATAAAATTAACAAAACGTTTTCTGTACTTATCTTGTTATTTCAATTTAAAATTTCCGTATTTTAAATATAAAATATAATAATTTAAATTTTTAATTTCATAACTTAGAAAAAACAATTTTTGTAAGAATAGAAAAATTAATGTAGACTGCTTTTAAAATACATTTCAAGGATCACAGAACATTTTTTCAACCAAGATTTTAATCGATGACAGTTCGAACGAATTAAAATAAAGATTTATTAAAATATAAATGAATTAAATTTTTTTAGAAAATCAAGCTTCGCACTCGATACATAGGACTTTTAAAAAAATTATTATTAGTGAAAGTAATTGAATTATTGTGAAGAATTGTAGAAAAATTTTGTTAAATAATTGAATTTTTGATGAATTTATAAATAGTAGGTTTTAGTAGATGAGTGTGAAGCCTGGAAAATATACTTTTGTATTAACATTTGAAAAAATTAGATAAATGTGAAATAAGTGATAGTCTGTGATCTCTAATATTTTGATGGAATATAATGTTTTAAAAAATTGAAATTTACAGGATTTAAAGGAAATTTTGCCAAACACAGTTCGACAAATACAACCTACAATTACGAGTACGATTACGACAGTATAATGCATTATGGAAGTCATTATTTCAGCAAAAACAAACGAAAGGCAACTCTTATACCATTAACGCCAGGTGTGAGATTAACTGGTCAACGAAAAGCGATGACAAAAACTGATTGTCTAAAGGTTAATGAACTGTACGGCTGCTTGCGAAAACCATCATTGGCTCGTCGATATCATCACCTCTGTCAAACATTAGGTATTTAAATACAGTGGAACCTCAGTTATTATATTCCAACTAAAGTCCAATCAATAGAAACTTATCTTTTGCAATTAATTACAAATTAATAGACAAATAATAGAATTCGAGTATTTTAATATTTTTCCAAAAGTAGGTTTAATTTTGAGATTTAACTGAGGTTCAAATGTAAATATGTTTAAAATATATTTTACCCCGAGTCAAATGAAAATTTAAACTTCTTGTTTGAAAATAAAACGATAATTTTTTACAAGAATACAAGAAAAAAAGCAAGATATAAAATAAAAAAACGCAAAATGCAATTTTTTTATAAGAAAAACTAAAAAATGTTTTCTCTTTTTTTATTCCATATCTAAAACATGACATTGATGTGCAATAATTTATCAAATGATATTACATGTTTTTGTAAGTTATTTTAACACAGTTTGTCGATGATAGTTCTCTTCTATTGATCAAAATAAAAAAATCATATGAATAGTCTCAAACAAAGCTCAGACTATTTAGATGTTGGAATGAATACTGAAGATTTCGTTCTAAACCGTAATTAAATTTAATCTTTGGACTAACAGTAATCGCAAACGCTTTATTTTTTAAATTTACCGTAATTGCTATCAAAAATTTCATTCATTTATTTTTTTTTTCATTAATTTTGCTTGTAACCTGCTACAAGTTAATGAAAATTTATTCACAAACGTCTGTATGCTTCTGTAAATTTTTTTTCTTTTATTATTTATAATTCTCTCGAACATTTGACCCAAATAATAATAAAAGAAAATTAATCTTTTACTTTATCGTCTCGATACAAAAAAAAACGATATTCAATTAATTAGAACGTCTGAAAAAATTGTTAGATAAAAGCAAACAGACATTTATACTGAGAAAATTTTCGCGTCAATAAATGTTAAAAATGTATCCAAGTTTAGATAACTAATATTTAATTCTTAGAAAAAGGGCGACAAAATTTTTATTCTAAAGTTAAAATAAAAATTCTGATTTTTAATAAATATATGAAAATAAGAAAAGTAATTTCCTAAAACATCGCTCCTCTTTGCCCCACCTGGTGTTTCGAAATAGGGCTCACAAATCAACTATAATTGTAATTTCTACCAGAATCAAATCTCTTGTGCGATCCAGAGAAAGTGTTTTCCCTTCCTCTTCCTCCTCCATAACCCCATCGATCTGAAAAAAAAACAGAATAAATAAGTATATGCATTTGAAAACTAAATTTTAAAACTAAATTCCTTTTTAATATAACAAGGTCAATAAAATTTAATTTCTAAGCCACTTTGATATTTCTTACCAGAAAAACAAATTTCGAAAAACGATAAACTCGAAATAACTCGATCAAGTTTTAAATTTTAAGCTTGCATACCTCTAATATTTATAAAAAAAATTTACAAAAAAGTATCAAGAAAATTTTTTGCAAGAATTCAATTACATTTCACAAATAATGAAATTCTTCGCTGGAATTCAAATATTTTTAAAATCTACCATTTTAATATAATTTCTGAAAAGAATTCAATTATTTAAAAAAAAATGTAATAAAAATTCGTTGGAAGAATTCAATTACTTTCAAAAATAATAAAATTCTTCACAGGATTTCAATTATTTAAAAAAAAAATGCAATAAAAATTCGTCGCAAGAATTCAATTATTCTCCTGAATAATAAAAAAATTTAAAAAAAAATTCAATTCAGGGCTCGAACCAGTGAAAGTATTTAAAAATACGGACTTTACGGACCAAAAATGAAAAATTACGGACCAATTACTGACAAAAATATATAAGAGAACATTTTATGTACTTAAAACTATAAATTAGATTTTTTCATAACTAAAAAACATGAAGATATCGATAAGCGATCGATTACTTCATGTTTTATAATAATTAAAGATAGAGTGATAAAATCATTATCAATTCAATTATTATTTTCTAGAATTTTGAACTAAAATTCTTCTTATTTAAATCAATTATTTTCCATAATTTTCGAAAAAGTTCTTTGACAATTTTCAAATCCAATTTGTTTACAATATACAATTTTACGAAATTCCAATTATTCGTAAATTTTTCTATTAAATAAATATTAGAAAATAAAAACTTCAAATAATATAAAAAAAAAAATTCGCAATTAAAATTTCTCAAAAAAAAATAATTGCACAGAATTGTTACTTAGTTAAAAATATGAAAAATTCCAATTTTCGAAGATTTGAATCTGAAACCTTTTCAAAATTTAATTATTTCTAAAACTTTACGCTCTGATACTTTTAATATTCAATTATAATCTAAAATTTTAACTGAAATCCATTTTTAAATCAATTTTTATGAGAAAATTTTACGAGAATTTTATTATTTAAATACAAAAAAAAACAATTTATTGAATAATTACATATGTTTCTTAAAATTGAATTCTTTTAAAGAATTGTATCAATCAATTTTAAAATAATTTGAATTCTTTTGCAAAATTTTATTAAAATAGATATTAAAAATAATTAAATTAGGGAAAATTTTTGAAAATAATTGAAATTTTGCCAAGAAATTTATTAAATTTTTTGAAAATAATTCAATTTTAGAGAAGAATTTTATTATTTATAAAGATAATTCATAATTTACGCAAAGAATTGCATTAAAAATTTTGAATGCAATAATTTTATTCTTTAAAGAAATTTAATTAAAAATTTATTAAAAATAATATTTAAATTCTAATAAATAAATTGTAGCAGAGGTTATTAAAATAATTAAATTTCTTTGATAAATTTTAATAACATTTTTAAGAATAATTACATTTTTCGAGGAATTCGATTAAAATTGTATTAAAAATAATTGAAATTCTATGATGAGTTTTATTATTTATCAAATTAATTGAATTCCTAATAAGAATTTTATTATTTGCCAAAAAAATTAAATACCTGTAAATTTTATATTATTTATGAAAATAATTGAATATTGCGAAGAAATTTATAAAAAAATTTGTAAATAATGAATTTCCTGTAAAATTTTTATTTTTTTTTTGAAAATAATTAAAAGTTTGTGTAGAATTTTATTAATTTTTTTTAAATAATTGAATTCTTTTGGAAAATTTTACTAGAATAGTATTACAGATACCTATTAAAAATCATTGAATTGAGGAAAAATTTGGAAAATAATTGAAATTTTTCCAAGAATTTTATTAAAATTTTTGAAAATAATTGATATTTTGGAGAAGAATTTAATTACTTCTAAAGATAATTGAAATTTTGACGAGAATTTTTAAAAAATTTTGAACATAGTTGAATTTTTGCGAAGAATTTTATTACTTTTGAAAATAATTATGAATTCCTTCAATCATTTGTAATTTCTCTAAAATTATCCAAATTATATCGTATAATTTACGTACTTTACGGACCTTTTTCAATCAAATTACGGACTTTACGGACCTTTTTTCAAAAAAACGGACTTTTACGGACTTCAAGCAAAGTTACGGACTTTTACGGGATTTACGGACCTAGTTCGAGCCCTGTTCAATTAAACTTTTTCAAAAAAATTAATTTTACAGAATTGTCAGTTAAAAGTACGAAAAAATATTATTTATTTATAAAAATTTACGCTATAATGCTTTTAATATTCAATTATTATCTACAATATTAACTGAAATTAATTTCTAAATCAATTTTTATCAGAAAATTCTACGAGAATTCAATTATTTAAATACAAAAAATGAGAATTCAATTTTGAGAAAAATTGTCATACTCATAAAGAATTTAATCAACAAATGTTTAAATAATTGAATTCTTTCGACGAATTTTAATAAAATTTTTATAAATAAATACATTTTTCAAGGAATATGATTAAAATTGTATTAAAAATAATTGAATTTCTGCAATGAGTTTTATTCTTCATGGAAATAATTGAATTATTGCGAAGAATGTTATAAAAAAGTTCCAAACAATTGTTTTTAAATAATTGAATTATTTTGGGAAATTTATGATTAAAGTAATAGATATACAAATTATTGAATTAAGAAAAACTTTTGAATATAATTTAAATTTTGCAATGAATTTTATTAAAATTTTTGAAAATAACTGAATTTTATTACTTTTAAAAATAATTGAATTCTTGTGATGAATATTGTTGTATTTGTGAAAATAATTTACTTTCTCCGAATGATTTTATTATTTATAATAAAAATAATTAAATCCCAGAAGGGAATTTTAAAATTTATGAAAATAATTGAATTTACTGCGAAGAATTTAATGCCAAATTTTATTTTATTTGATTTTTCCGAAAAAATTTATGCAAATTCTATTTTAAATAATTGAATTCCTGTGAAACTTTTATTATTTATGAAAATAATTAAATGTTTACGTAGAATTTTATTAACATAATTGAATTCTTTTGGAAAATTTTATTAAAATAGTAGAATATTGAAAATCATTGAATTAAGAAAAGTGTTTGAAAATTATTGGAATTTTGCCATGAACTTTATTAAAATTTTTGAAAATAATGAAATTTTGCTATTTATTTATAAAAATAATTGAAATGTTGACAATTTTTTTTTAGATTTTTTGAAAATAATTCAATTTCTGCGAAGAATTTTATTAATTTTGAAAAGAATTGAATTCTTCTGATGAATATTGTTACTTATGAAAATAATTGAATTTTGCAATGAATTTTAGAAAAATTCCTGATAACAATTGAATTTTGTCAAAGAATTTTGCATTTTTTGTAAATTATAGAATTTCTGCCATGAACTTTATTAAAATTTTTGAAAATAATGAAATTTTGCTATTTATTTATAAAAATAATTGAAATGTTGACAATTTTTTTTTAGATTTTTTGAAAATAATTCAATTTCTGCGAAGAATTTTATTAATTTTGAAAAGAATTGAATTCTTCTGATGAATATTGTTACTTATGAAAATAATTGAATTTTGCAATGAATTTTAGAAAAATTCCTGATAACAATTGAATTTTGTCAAAGAATTTTGCATTTTTTGTAAATTATAGAATTTCTGCCATGAACTTTATTAAAATTTTTGAAATAATTGAATTCTTGTAATGAATATTGATAGTTATGAAAATAATTGAATTTTGCAATGAATTTTATTAAAATTCCTAAATATAATTGAATTTTGGCGAAGAAATTTATAAATAATTAAATTCCCGACTAATTCCCGGTCATTTCCCGGAATTCCCGGTTAGTAGACATCCAGAGTCCTTTGAAATTTTTATTATTTATGAAAAATAATGAATTTTGTTTGCTTAGAATTTTATCAAAATTTTTTTTATATAATAGAATTTTTTTGAAAAATCTTATTAAAATAGTAGATATTGAAAATCATTGAATTGAGGAAAATTTTTAAAAATAATTGAAATTTATCAATAATTTTATAAAAATTCCTGAATATAATTGAATGTCACCGAAGAATTTTCCTATAAGTGTCTATAAAGATGATTGAAATTTTGACGAGAATTTTTAAAAATTTTTAAACATAATTGAATTTCTGCGAAGAATTTTATGACTTTTGAAAATATTTGAATTTCTGCAATCATTTGTAACTTCTCCAAAATTCAATTTTTTCCAGTACTTTAATAAAAATACCAGACTTTCCCCTGAATTCCCTGCCCTGTGACTTTAATTGTTATCCGTCACATTAAAGATTACTGACAAGAAGTACAAAATTCTAATGCTTAAATCCCAGAAAGACCTAAATGTAGTAAATGTGAGTCATGACCTTTGTTCAGTTCTATATATAGCCAACCATCTAGACCTTTGGCCGCAAGGGGGCAGACAGATACAAGGGTACTCGAGTTAAAAATAAATTAAATTTGTGTTACTACTTACTTTTATTGCCATAAGCACCACCTCCTCCACCTCCTCTTGACGCTAGTTCGCTAAGCTTTGGGTTGATAATCTGGTTGGCTTCTTTAAGCACACTTATGAGATCCTTTGCCTGTTTACAATTTTGTGGAGTGAAAAAGGCATAACTTGTGCCTGTGCTTTGACTACGTCCTGTCCTTCCAATCCTATGGATATAGTCTTCTGACGATTGTGGATAATCGAAGTTTATTACGTACTTAACGTCATCAACGTCTACAGAGAAAAAGCTTGTTAGACAAATTTACTTTCGAACCTTTTAAAAAACATGTTAATTGTCAAGATATAAGTTTTAAAAGCCAATTGATTTTTTATTTCTTTCACAAGAACTAGCGAAAACCCCCCAATTATGAAAGTTACTTAAAAAATCGTTCATCTCGGTACTACTGATTAAATTTTTTTTCTTTTTGCAATTATATTAAATTTAGAAAAAAGCAATGAGCAGCCTAAATCCTTATCATACACTATACAGACATAACACTTAAGATTTTGCAGTATCAAATAAAATCATTGTCAAATTCAAGGCAATTTTTATTGTTCTAAAATAATTCGACTTTATTTTTAATTAAAACAAATTCAGTGAAAATGTGTTGATTAATGGCTTATATTTATAACTGTTGAAGAACTTATTTTGAATTGAGATAAAGATGTCTTTAATTTGACAATGACAGGGCTCGAACCAGCGAAAGTATTTAAACATACGGACTTTACGGACCAAAAATGAAAAATTACGGACCAATTATATTGACAAAAATATAACCGATCCGAGTCAAATAAGAGAACATTTTACTTAAAAAACAATAAATTAAATTTTCCATTACTATAAAACAGGAATGTATCGATAATCGATTCCTTCATGTTTTATAAAAATTAAAGATGACCGAGTGATAAAATCATTTACAATTCAATTAATATTTTCAAGAATTTTTGACTAAAATTCTTCTTTAAATCGATTATTTTTAATAGTTTTCGAAAAAGTTATTTGACAATTTTCTAATCCATTTGTTTCAAATATTCAATTTTACGAAATTTCAATTATTCGTAAATTCTAAAATTTTAAAAATGTTAGAAAATAAAAACATAAAATATAAAAAAATTCAATTAAACCTTTTTAAAGAAAATTAATTCCAAAATTCAATTATTTCTAAAAATTCACACTATATTGCTTTCAATATTCAATTGTTATTTAAAATTTTAACTGAAATTCATTTTTAAATCAATTTTAAATTTTAAATTCTACGAGAATTCAATTATTTAAATACAAATAAATAATTTATTGAATAATTGAATGTTTCTTAAAATTCAATTCTCATAAAGAATTCAACAAATTTTTAAATAATTTAATTCTTTCGACGAATTTTAATAAAATTTTTAGAAATAAAAATTACATTTTTCGAGAAATTCCATTAAAATTGTATTAAAAATAATTGGAATTCTGCGATAAGTTTCATTATTTGTGAAAATAATTGAATCCCTAAGAAGAATAAATTACTTTTGAACAATATTCCATTTTAGCGAAGAATATAATTACTCTTGAAAATAATTGAATTTCTTCAATAATTTCTAACTTTTCAAAAGTTAAATTCTTTTTCTTGATTTTAACTAACATTCTTCTATAAAATGCATTATTTTTAATAATTTTTGAAAAAGTTCTGTTCGAATTTTCAAATTCATTTGTTTACAATTCAATTTTACGAAAATTCTATTATTTGGATAGTTTTCAATTAAATATTTAGAAAATAAAAAAATGAAATAATTTTTAAAAAAATCAGCAATTAAACTTTCTCAAAAAAAAATTAATTCCACAGAATTGTTGGTTAAAAGTATGAAAAATTCAGATTTTCAAAGATTTTCATTTGAAACCTTTTCAAAATTCAATTATTTCTCAAAATTCACGCTCTAATGCTTTTAATATTCAATTATTTATTATCCAAAATTAATTTTAATTGAAATTCTTTTCGAATTCAATTATTTAAATAAAAAAATTAATAATTTATTAAATAATTGAATGTTTCTTGAATTTTAATTCTCATGAAGAATTTTATCAACAAATTTTTATATGATTAAATTCTTTTGGCGAATTTTTAATAAATTTTTTAAGAATAATTACATTTTTCGAAGAATTCTATTAAAATTGTATTAAAAATAATTGAATTCTTATGAAGAATTTTGATTAAAATTTTTAAAAACAATTTAATCCTTTCGAGGAATTTCAATTAAATTGTATTGAAAATAATTGAATTCATGCGGAGAATTTGATTAAAATTCTTTAAAATAATTGATTTTGGGAGAAGAATTTTATTATTTTTGAACATAATTAAATTTTATTGCTTTTGAAAATAATTGAATTCTTATAATGAATATTGTTATTTTTTGAAAATAATTGAACTTTGCAAAAAGTTTTATTAAAATTCCTGAAAATAATTGATTTTCTAGGTAGAATTTTGTTATTTATCAAAATAAATGAATTCTTTCGAAGAAATGCGTTAAAACTTTTAAAATAATTAAGTATAATTTAAAAATTCTTTTGACGAATTTTAATAAATTTTTTAAGAATTACATTTTTTGAGGAATTTGATTAAAATTGTATTAAAAATATTTGAAATTCTGGAATGAGTCTTGTTATTTATGACAATAATTGAATTCCTAAAAAGAATTTTATTATTTACCAAAATAATTGAATCACTGTAAAATTTTTATTATTTACGATTTAATTTGTAAATAATTGAATTCCTGTGAAATTTTTATTATTTATGAAAATAATTGAATGATTGCGAAGAAATTTATAAAAAATTTGTAAATAATTGAATTCCTATGAAATTTTTATTATTTTATGAAAATAATTAATAAAGGTTTGCGTAGAATTTTATTAAATTTTTAAAAATAAATTTTGCCAAGAATTTTATTGAAATTTTTGAAAATAATTGAAATTTTGACACTAATTTTTTTTAAACTTTTGAACATAATTGAATTTTTGGGGAGAATTTTATTACTTTCGAAAATAATGGAATTTCTGGAAAGAATTTTATTACTTTTGAAAATAATTGAATTTCTGCAATCATTTGTAATTTCTCTAAAATTCTGCAAATTATATCGTAAAATTTACGAACTTTTCGTCTTTTCTCAATGAAATTACGGACTTTTACGGAGCTTTACGGGATTTACGGACCTAGTTCGAGCCCTGCAATGACGGCATTTTCAATTGAAACACTTGGTGTAATTCGTGAAAGCTAATTTCAAATTATAAAAATTATTTGAATAAAAGTGAATTAACTTTCCAAGGAAATACCTGATCAGTGGGACAGTCCAAGATGATATTCCACTAGATTTTGGTTAAAACTGCAATGCTTATTTTCGACAAGGCTCAAGCGTGTATGAATGTATTTGTTAGCTGCACCATAGTTTATACAAACCCAGTTTTTGCTCCATTGAACTTAGCATTCCGCCATCGCGAACGGGGATGTGCCATTCTTGAATGCAAGTTCAGTGTACGCAATGTCTTGACTCCTATTATTCCCATCAAGTAGCGATAGTAGCAAAATCAATAGATTGTTGTCTCGCACGGGCTGAATGTCGGTGTGATGGTTGTATTGTTATGCAAAAATCAGTCAGCCAGCCAACCAGCGCGAGCAAAATACCCGGGCACCACCATTTTTATTTTTTACTTCGTGTGGTACACAGGCAAAAAGTACACAGAGGCACATTGAGTACACATTTAACACGCCTGCTACAGGCTCGTGTATAACTTCTATATATCACTTGCATATATAGCTTTCAAAGGAACACAGACACTGAGTGAGCCATGGGGATGAATTTCGCTCATCGCACACTCAACGCATACTGTGCACCATGTGCCTCTGAAACAAAGGACAACCAGACTGATTAAAATAAAATCTAAGATGCCCACTTATTTTATTACTTATTAGATTCTAGATTTTTATGTTTTGTTCTCAAGTTCTTGACACAAGCCTGTTCTCAACTCACAAGCTTTCGATTGATATCAAGCGACAAACTCACCAATTTACAGAGCTCAATAAAACTCAAATCTCTTGATAATTCATTTCAAGAAAAGCAGCAAAAAGTAGCTTTAAAATTTAAAAAAAGTCCATTTTTCCACATAAATTTACGATTTTTTTGATTCATTAATGAATTGCATTGCAGACTTTGCACTCGATAATTATATTTAAAAAAGTAGCTTTCAAACTGAAAAAAATTAGTAAAAATTATTTTTTATTTTCCTCACTATTTTCTAATTCTCATCAAAAATATTTACTTCTTTCTTATCCTGATAATAAATTAAATTCCTGCAACGAATTTTATTTATTATCCATGAAAAAATTTAAATATTTATAAAAAGAATTTAATTCTTGCGAAGAATTTTATTAAAATTTTTGACAATAATTGAATATCTTTGTGGTATTTTAATAAATTTTTTTGAAAATAATTGAATTCCTAAAAAGCAATTTATTATTTATAAAAATAATTGAATTGTTGCGAACGAATTTATTAAAACAATTTTAAATAATTGAATTCAAAGAAAAAATTGATTACTTTTAAAAATAATTTAATTCTTGTGATGAATATTGTTATTTATAAAAGAATTGAATTTAGCAAAGAATTTTATTAAAATGCTTCAAAATAATTGAATATTCGGGAATAGTTTTGCTATTTATCTTTAATAATTGAATTCTTTCAAAGAATTATTTGTGTAAATAATCGAATTCTTAGGAAGGATTTTATTTAAATCTAAAAGAATAATTGAATTATTTTTTAAAAAATTTAATTTAAATTGTATTTAAAATAATTGATTTCTTTCGAACAATTTTTTAAAAATATTTGAATTCCTGTGAAAATTTTTATATTTTTGTAAATAATTGAATTCTTTCAAGGAATTTTAAAAAACATTTTTTTTAAATAATTGATTTTTTCGAGGAATTGAAATTAAATTTTTTAAAATAATTACACTTTTTGAGCAATACCTGTAAAATTGTATTAAAAATAATTAAAATCCTGCGATGAATTTTATTATTTATGAAAATAATTGAATAGTTGCAAAGAATTTTATTATTTATAAAAATTATTTATATATTATTTATTAAATATTATTTAATAAATAAATAAAATTATTTATTTATTAAATAATTGAATTGAATTATTGGGAAAAATTTTATTAAAATGTTCAGAAAGAATTGAATTTCTGTGAAAAATTTTGTTATTTTTGAAAATAATGGAATTCTTGCTTAAAATTTTATCAAAAATTTTTCTAAAAATTGAATTTCCATGAAAAATATAATTATTAGTAAAAGTAATTGAATTATTATGAAGAATTGTATGAAAATTTTATCAAATAATTGATTTTTTCGACATTTTTTTTAAATGCTATTCTAAATTAATTAAATTCCTGTAGAAATTTTCTTATTTTTTTATTATGAAAATAATTGAATTTTTGATGCATTTTTTTTTTAAATAATTGAATTCTTTTGCGAAATTTTATGAAAATATTAAATATTGAAAATAATTGAATTTTGAATATTTTTTGAAAATAATTGAATCGTTTTAAAGAATTTGATTATAATTTTTGAGATAAATAAATAAATTTCATTCTTTACGATAAACATAAGTGGATTGCCGAAAACTTTTCCAAGTTTTGTTACTGTTGAGAATGTGTATTTTAATTGTTTCTGCAAAAGAATCTAAATCAGGATGTTCAATTAAGTAAACATTTTCTCATATTCACTAATTTCTTTTGGTTCTTCAAATGAATGTCAATTTTCCCATTTCAGTAACTTTTTAAGAATTATTTAAACTTTTAATCAAACTAATATAATCCAACTAAATTTCTAAACTGTTTTGTAAATTTATACATGGATTTAAAGAAAATGATGTCAATATAAAGAAAGCACTCTGACTTTGAACACCCTGATAAATATTCAATCTTAAAATTCATAAATTTGAAGGCCGATATCAAGCGATAAACACTTTCGACGTTTATAAAATGTCGAGTAGATTGCATTAGAGTCCTCTCTCGAAAGTGTCTACTAAATTTCTTAGACAAATTTTAGTTGTTGAAAAATATTAATTTTTACTGGAAAAAATTGAAAAATTAAAGGAAACATGGTCTGGATGTATTTTTCGCGTTTTTAAAGAAATTTTAGCAGACATTCTTTAAATATGTACTGTAAGTAAAAGAAAAATTATAGTTGAAAAAAGTGTGTTTTGCAATTAAGAAGAAACGTTTATTCTATAATCTATGAAAAAAAAATGAAATTATAAGTCCTAACACGAATTTAAAATGCGAAACAATAGAGAATATTTATCAACTGTCTAATGCCTTCTATCATATACTTCAGCTTATGTTAAGTTTGAGAAATTACAAAAAAATAAGAATTTAAGAGAATATAAAAAATTTATATCTTTTGAAAAAAATTAGCGATTCTTTTCTAAAAAAAAAGAATTAAGATTGCTTTCTTTAAAAGCATTGTAGTTAGTGTTATTGAACAATAATTTTCCCACGAGTAAGGCATCACTTCATATAACCAGTCTGTGCTACATCGCCACCCTCCTTTTATTCTATTTTCTTTTCTATTTTATATTTGAAAAACGCGGAACCGAAATCTTCTGACTTAAGTTATAGTGAAATAATTTAAAAACTCACCTAAACCACGAGCAGCAACGTCAGTTGCTACAAGAATTCCACCTCTTTTATTTCTAAATTCTGAAATAGAAATAAGTTTTTAAAATTTTCAAAAAGTTTGAATAAAATGGAGTCTTTCATCTTTTTTTATAGTCAATTTAACTTTTTCAAAAAAAATTTAATTTCTTTGTGAAAGAAGAAAATTGCTGTTTCTAATTGTAGAAAATTGAAATATAATTGTTTATTTTAAATGTTTCTTACCTTTGAGAACATAATCACGTTCCTGTTGTGATTTATCGCCGTGCATACAAACAGCGGGCCACCCATAACGACGAATGTTTCTTGTGATGTTCTCAACTTTCTTCTTAGTTTCAACAAAAATAATAGTTTTGCCTCCATCGTCATTGGCGTTTCCAATTTCTTGAAGTAATGTTCCTAATCTGGAAATTAAAAACAAATAATAAGTACCACCATCAAGAAGAAAATGGAGAGCATAATAATCTTTATGGTTTAATCAGTTCTTCTTAGAGGATAATTATAGTTAATGAAATCATAACATCTCATAACATTGTTTCATCATTTATTCGCAAAAAAATTATGAAAATACATGATTTCTCGAAAAATTTAATAAGTCGAAAAAGTAGATTTTTTAAAAAATTGTAATTTACTTTTTTTTAAAAATAATTGAATTTTTAAAAAATTGTAATGAATTACAAAAAACAAGGTAGCCCCACTTTTTAGAAATTATAACCCCTCTTCCCTCCCCCAAGTAGCACGCTGTTAAATGCATTAGCGCCATTTTTTCTACCCGTCGTTGCAAATGGCTTCTGCAGCTGCAGGCCTCGGATCGACATTAATTCAGGGTTGTCAAAAAAATTTTATTTTGTATTTCCTGACCCCTTTCACTGATTACAAAATTCAATTATTGAAAACTTGAATAATTTTGTTAGATAAACCTTCCAAAAATCAATTTTTCAATTTTTTAAAATAATAATTGTAACAATCCATGTTTTTTTTAAATTATTAAGATATAATACTTTCAAAAAATTTAAATAAAAAAATTCTTAAAATTACTTTTTTTTTAAATATTCTTAAATAATTTTTGAAAGACACTAGTTTTTCAATTATATTCAATTGAAAAATTTCCAAACAATTGAAATTTGGTAAAATCATTGAAAAATAACTGAATTTTTGAAAAATATAAAAATGCCTTCTCATGTGATGAGAATGTAATAAGCAAATTTTTGAAGAATTTTAATTTTAAATCTGAATACAATATGAATTCTCCGAAATTTTTAAGTCTTAAAAAGGAAATTTATTTGGAAGAAAAGTCGAGAATGACGTAATTTTTGAAAATAAGTCAAAAAAAATCTCAATTTTCTAAATTTCTCTGACATTACTGACAAAAATTTTGTTTTACTGACATGTGGCCACCCTGGTAATTGATTTCTTAAAAAGCGTGAGGAACATAAAATGATGCGTGACGCGATGAATCACCCATGTACATAAAGATTTATAAATAAAAATATCTTACTTTGTTTCCTTCTCATGTTCTTGGCAAACATCAACAATTTGAAGGATATTATGATTGGCAGCCAAAGTGAGTGAGCCGATGTTGAGTTGAATATAGTCGGTAAGATACTCCTCGGCGAGGTTGCGCACCTCCTTCGGCCAGGTGGCAGACCACATAAGGACCTGCCTGTCGGGTCTGATTTGTTCAATGATTTTTCGGATTTGTGGCTCGAATCCCATGTCCAACATGCGATCGGCCTCGTCAAGAACGAGATACGTGCATCTTCGAAGATTTGTCGTGCCGCGTTCTAAAAAGTCAATTAAACGTCCTGGCGTGGCGATGCAAATTTCCACACCGCGCTCGAGGTCACGCGCCTGTGGTCCCTTCGGCGCTCCGCCAAAGATGCAAGTGTTCCTCACATACGACAGAGAGCCAAAGTCGTTTGCGACAGATTGAATTTGTTGCGCAAGCTCCCGAGTGGGTGCGAGCACCAACGCAATGGGACCGTCTCCACGATTCAATGGTTGTTGGCTGTTGATGTGGACGATCGCCGGCAGAATGTAGCCGAGGGTTTTTCCCGAGCCGGTTTGTGCAATTCCGACCATGTTTTGACCAGACATAGCGATGGGCCAGCCCTGAGCTTGCACTGGAGTGGGTTCGTTGAAGCCTTGCTTTCTGATTTCCTGCATCACGTAATCCGGAAAATTGCCCTCTTCGAAGTACTTTATGGGGTTGGGCACTCGGCTCCCCTTCAATGTGATTTTGTTCTCGTCTCGGAATTGCTCAATTTCACGAAGATGACGCGATTGAACGTTGTCGTGAGGAACGTAGAAATCCTTCTTGAATGGCTTTAGATTTTCATAGTCCCAATTGGGTTTTCTCAAACTGCCTCCAGAGAGTTTTGGATTGTTCAGATTGCGTCCTGCATTTCCGCCGTAGCTGTTGCCGCCACCTCCGCGGCCTCCGAATCGAGAACCTCCTCCTCCTCCTCCAGTTCCGTATCCATTTCTTTGTCCTCCTCCACTTCCGCCGCCCATGCGATTATTGCTCGTCGACGATGCACCATTGCGGTATCCTCCGTAAGTCCTTAAAAAATAAAAACCCTTTACTCTTCGCTCTCGAAAAGGCAGAAAGTTTTTCAAAAATTCTTAGCATTTCTTAAAAATGTAAAACTGTAGTGAACATTGAGAGACGGTTCCAGACATTGTGTGTGGACTCCGAAGGCATAGTTCACAAACTTTATTCTCCCTTCCACAAGCATTCATGCTCCATTCAAGTAAAAAATGAAGGCATGCCAAAATGGAAGGGCAAGTTAGTAAAATCTAAGTTTACAATAAAAAGGCCTCGGATCGACTTCAACGAGCCAAAAAAATCCCTTTAGTCGATTAAAAATAGAAAAAATTGAAAATCAAAAAAGTCAATTCAGTGTTGCCACAAAAAATTTTATTTTGTATTTCCCTGATTTCTAAATTCAATTAATAACTGGAATAATTTTGCTAAACAAATATTTAAATACTTCTAATTTCGTTTTTCACAGTCGAATTAAAATTTAAAAATTTTAACTTCTGAAATTTATTAATTTCTAAAAATTACAACTATAACACTTTGAAAAATTCAATTATTTTCTACAATTTTGAACTAAACTTCATCTCTAAATCAATTATCTATACTAATTTTTAGTTATTTTCCGAAACTTCTTCGAGAATTCAATTATTTCAATACAAAAATTCCATTTTTGTATAATAATAGAAACAGTTTCTACTTTATTCGAAGATAATTAATTCTTAAAAAATTGTGATAGAACAATTCTAAAAATTAGTTTCTTAAAAAAAAATTGTAATATAATTTTTCGAAAATAATTGAATTTCTGTAAAGACTTTTTGTATCATTTAAAAAAAACTAATTAATTTATTGAAAAATTTTAATTAAAAATTTTGAACATGATTGTTTTCTCCAAAATGCTGAAAATAATTCCAAAAAATGTTAATATAATTCTTTGAATCTAATTATTTTAAATTTTCGGAAATATATAATTGAAAATAATTGAATTTCAAAAATTAGAATGAAAACGTTATGAGGATTACTTTATTCAAAAGTATTTTAATATAATTTTTAGAAGCTAATTTTCATTAAAATTCTTGAGAATTGAATATTATTTTCAAAATTTGCAATTAAAATTCTTCAAAAGTTGATTTTAAAAAATTTTAGTAACATATCTGAAAAAATTCATTATTTTCAATTAAATTTTACAAAATTTCAATTATTTAGAAAAAGGTTTTATAAATTTTGAATTTGAAGTTTGTATTCAGTCTGAAGAAAACTTTTTCAGTCAAAAACTTGTAGAAAAATCGACTAGTAGCAAAATAAAGCTAATAATTTTACAATTATATACAATTAAAAAATGTCCAAAAAATTTAAATTTAGTAAATTCTTTTAAAAAATAATTGATATTTAGTAAAATCTTTAAAAAATAATTAAAATTTGATACAATCTTTGAAAAATAATAGAAATTTGGTAAAATCTTTAATCTTAGAAAAATAATTGGGGCGGTATCAATTGCCCAAAATTCAACTGTATACAGGAAAACTGCACACGTTCAAGTGCACACGGGAAAACTGTATACAAGCAAATTTAAAAAATAAAATCATTAAATTAAATTTAAAAACTGTATCTACAAATTTAAAGTGCATACTATTAAAATTTGCAATTTTTAATAGTATGCAGTTTTCCTGTGGTCAGTTTACCGGTATGCAGTTTAAATTTGTACAATTTTTAAATTTAATTTAATGATTTTATTTTTTAAATTTGCTTGTATACAGTTTTCCCGTGTGCACTTGAACGTGTGCAGTTTTCCTGTATACAGTTGAATTTTGGGCAATTGATACCGCCCCAAATAATTGAGTTTTTAAAAAATAATCAAATTTTTGAAGAATTTTAATTCCTAAATTAAAATTTTTTTTATCTTCAAAAATTATGATAAAAAAATTCGAAGAATTAGTTTTAGTAATGTAATTTTTCGGAAATAATTGAATTTCTAAAAAGAATTTTTGTATAATTTTGAAAAAAAACTAATTAATTTTTTGAAGAACATTAATTAAAAATTTTGAATATGATTATTTTCTAGTTCCAAAATGTTAAAAATGATTCTAAAAAATTGTAATATTATTTTTTTTATGTATTTCAATTATCAGAAATATGTAATCGAAAATATTGAAAATAATTGAATTTCAAAAAATTAGAATGGAAAAATTCTGAGAATTAGTTTTTTCAAAAAGATTTTAATTTTTTTTACAACATAATTTTCATTAATTTCCATTTTTATTAAATTTACACTTGAAGATTTTTCATTAAAATTTTTGAGAATTTAATTATTTTCAAAAATTTCAAGTTAATTTTTGAAAATTGTAATAAAATACTTGAAAAAAATGATTTATTTTCAATTAAATTTTACAAAATTTCAATTATCCAAAATCTTTTTAATTGTATATTTGAAAAAATTAATTAGAAAAATTATTCAAAAATAACTTTTTAAAGATTTTTGTACTTTACACACTATAAAAATCGAAATAAGATGCATTTTATACCAAAAATGTGATATTTTGTTGCAAAATTTGGAAGATAAGTCGAAGAAGTCGCAGTTTTTTAATATAAGTCGATAAAAGTCGCATTATTTGGAAATAGTCGAAAAAGTCATAAAATCCGAGGCCTGATTATAAAATATAGGTACAAATTAAAATAAACCAAAGGGACAAAATTTTTCAAATTTTTCCAATTTTCTTGCATTTAATTAATTCAATGTTTTAACCCATTTAATATAGTTATAAAGAATTTAATTCCTTGATTCTTAGTGGACAGCTTTAATCACAAATTTTCGAAATATCTAAACTTTTCAAACAATTTCTGTCTTAGTATAGATACAATTTTCATATAAATTTCACATAGACAACGGGATTCATATCAGCAAAATTAGATATGAAAAATTTTTAAAATTCAATACTAACCGGCGTAAAACTCCAAGTACACCACTAAACGAGCGTAACCTTGAAAACAAAAATAGTTTAGCGTCGCTCTTGAAAAGTGAAACAGGAAAACTTAAATTTTTAAATTAGACTATGTACTTCCACTTATTTTGCATTATTGAAAACAGATTACACAAACCAATATTTAATATCACGGATCACAGTACCATTTTTCTTTGAAAAATAATTCAATTATTTTCTAAAAAAAAGTGCCAAAAAAATTAACTAACATAAATTTAAATACAGAAAAAGTAAATTGTATTTGAGATTTTTATTAATTTCATTTTCTTCTTCATAATAGATTAAAAAGTTAATTTATTATTATAGGTCTAATGTTGTAAAAATTTAAATTATCGAAATTTATTTCCTTTTCAAATTTTAATTTTATTATAATTTCAGGCATCACAGAAACTTTTCTTCTCAAAAAAATGCGAAAAGGGAAATTTTTCTTGAGAAAGGAGAACAAAAATATACCAAACAACAAATTAAAATGTGTTAAAAGTTATATTAACAATGCATTATTAATACTCAAATTTTTTTTACAGTTTTGGATTCTTTGATAGAAAATAACTTTAATATTAAGAATTAAATTTTAAATATTTACATCTCATAAACATTTGGAAAATAGAATAATTACATTAAAGTGTTTCCGATATATCTTTTTTTTAATCAATTTTTCTATTATATCAGAATGTTATATATAGCCATTTAAAAAAGATCATCCAAAGAAATGCAGTATTTAAAAAAAATAACATTTAAAGAATTGAAATTCTATTATTAATAACATTTTCTGGAAAAACAAATATTAATTTTCAAGAAAAAAATATTAAAAACCTACAAAAATTTATTTGTTTATACAATTTGCACAAATAATTCAAATTTTTTATCATATCGCTTCTATAGAATTTTCTAAAAATGATTCGATTTGAATGTAATAATGTTTATTTCTTCCAAAAATAATTTTGAAAATATGCTTATTTGTATAAAAGTCAAAATTTTCTGTTACTAAAATAATCAGTAGAGAATAATTTTTTGAAGAAAATAAGCCATGTTACGTTAACACCGAATCATTTTTTTAAAAAAAAGTCTATAGAAGCGATACGACAAAAATTTGGATCATGTGCAAATTGTACAAAAATAAATATTTTGATTCTTAATTTTTTCTTCTCGAAAGTTGATATTTTTGTTTTTTCTAAAAAGTACTACTACAGGGTTACCACAAAAATTTAATTTTTTCCCTGATCCTGAAGAATATTCTGATTCAATCCAAAAATTATTAGGTACTCAAAAAAATGTTCTTTTACATTTATTTACTGATTTCATTAATTGTAAAATTATCCCAAAACATCAATAACTTCCTTTTTAAATAAGTATTTAATCATTATTATTTTTCCATAGGAATTCAATTAAGATTATAAAAAAATTCAAATCTAAACCTCTTGAAATTCAATAACTTTTAAAAATATTATTATTATTCCTCGAAAAATGTAATTATTTTCAAAAATTTTTTGCAAGAATTCAATTACATTTTACAAATAATGAAATTCTTCGCTGAAATTCAAATATTTTCAAAATCGACCTACTATTTTAATAAAAATCCTTTGCAAGAATTTAATTATTTTCCTAAATAATAAAATTCTTCATAAAATTCCAATTATTAAAAAAAATGCAATAAAAATACTTGCAAGACTTCAATTATTTTCCAAAATAATAAAATTCTTCACAGGATTTAACGTTTTTAATACAGTTTTAAGTAAATTCTTTGAAAAATGTAATTAATTTCAAAAATTTTATTAAAATTCTTCGAAAAGAAATAAATGAACAATTACCTATCAATTATTTTTAATAATTTTGGTAAAAGTTCTTAGAGAATTTTTAAATTCATTTTGTTTACAATTCAATTTTATGAAATTTTGATTATTCGGAAATTCTACAATCAAATATTTAAAAAATAGACACTTGAAATAATTTCAAAACAAAATTCAATTAAATTTCTTGAAAATACCAATTATTTCTAAATAATTAAATTTTTTTGACGAATGTTAATAAAATTTTCAAGAATAATTAAATTTTGCGAGAAATTCAGTTGAAATATTATTAAACTTATTTGAAATTCTATGATGAGTTTTAATATTCATGAAAATAATTGAATTTTGGAGAAGAATTTTATTGTTTTTTTAAAATAATTCAAATTTTGATGAGAATTTTTAAAATTTTTTGAACATAATTGAATTTTTGAAAACATTTGTAACTTCTCTAAAATTCAATTTTCTTTTGTGTTTTTAACTAAAATTCTTCTATAAATCCAGGATTTTTAATAAATAATTAAATATATATTAAAATATTAAATAAAACTAATTAAGAATCCTGCAAATTAAATTTTTCCCAGTACTTTAATAAAAATCCCTGACTTTTTCCTGACCTATGGCAACCCTGTATTAATAATAATATTTTATTTATTTAAATGCTAATTAATTATTTTTCTAGAGGTCTGCATTCTGTTGGATGAACCAACTTTATATTTATAAAATTCTTTACTTTATATTATTTAAATCACAAACAGTAAAAAACGGAGTTTTTGAATTTGAAATATATTTTTAAAAAATTAAAACTTCTTTATTTTTGATTAGAAAAAGGTAAAAAGGGGAAAAATCACCAAAAAAAAGGGGGAAAAAGGTAACAAATCAACAGAAAAAAAGGTAAAAAAATGGAGACAAAAGGGAAAGATAGTCATCTGTGATGCCTTTTATAAAATTCAATTACTTTAAAAATTTTAAGTGAAATTATCCGCTTAATAGTTTCTAAATAATTAATTTTATGAAACTTGTTTAACAATTAAATTGTTAAAAAATAAGTTCAAGTTTATATTATGCAAATTTCAAATCGTTGTCAGAAATTTAAAAAAACTAGTTTCGTATTAAAATTCAAGATGACCCAAGTTTATTGGACAAACAAAAGGAATTCAAAAAGAGTTAAATATTTTTAATATTTTCAAAGCTTTCCGAACACTATGAACTGGAATTGTTTTTATTGATTTTAGAAATTTTATACTTTTGATAAAATTCCCTGACCTGTGGCAAATCTTGAGTTTAATTAAAATTAAGATGAATTGTTATTACAAAGATTAAAATTTTTGACGAATTGAATTCAGAGTCAACTAAAATTTTAATAGATCTATGTTCTAATTCAAATTTATTAAAATATAAATTAAACTAAACATTTTAATTAAAAATATTTTTGAAAAGTGAAAATAGGTAACAAAATTTAAAAAAGGTGAAAAAAATGACAGTCTGTGATCCTGTAACATTTAACAAACGCGTAATTTGAAATCAATAAAGAATTTTTAAAATAGAAAATGCAGATAATAATTATGCATTTCTATCAACGAAGTAAAACGTTTATTTAAAAAAGGCGCTTGTACGAAAATAGTCTGAATTTGTGAAAAATTCCACCAATTTTGATTAACAGAAAATTTTCCGAAAATTCTCTATGTAGAACTAATAAAAATTGTTTAACTCCACTTTACTCAGAATCATAGAGGTGTACAAGCGCCTTGAGCTTCCCGGAAGTAACTTTCCACGTGCTAAATGAAATTTGTATCCAAAAATTGCCACTTTCCATTTCAATCCCACTTTATTTATTTATTTTTATTTATTTCTCAACAAAATGTATTCTCAATTTTTTCATTTTTAGTATTTTATAGATTTATTTTATACATTGAAAAAAAATGCTTCTGAAAACACAAAATTTACTTTTCGAGCCGCCATTTTTCTCAACATGACAAATCACTTAAAACATTATTTAGCCCCAAAAATATATATATTTCACAAATACCAATTTCTAAAAAACTAAGAGAAACAATTTTTTTTTATATTTATCAATAAAAAAAGAGGAATAACTTAAAAAATTGAAATATCAAAGGGCGTATTCTTAACGCTTCACGTTGTAGAACGTTCGCGAAAAAATGAACATAAATTAATTAGTATTCAAAAAAATAAATTATTCTCAGCATTTTTTACTCACATGTTTAATATTTACTGTTCTCTGCTTTTCAAATCCCCAAAAAAGTGTGTTGGCTGTTGGTGAATAAAGTTGAAATGCGGCAGTGATTTCTACGATCAAAAATAAGCAGGTATTTTAATTGTTGAAAACAAAATAAAACGTAACAATTTAGAACTTATATTTTGATAATTTAACAAGAATAATCACAAGAATATGTGAAATGACAAATTGAAACGCAATATATACATATATATATGTATAACTTTAAAACGTTATATAATCAAGAAATATATCTCACCCGTGCCGCTGATGGGGAAAGAAAGAACAACCTGATGGAAGAGAAACAGGAAATGATACAATTATTAAATTGGTGGGAGAAGCCCTTCACTTCTGCGCAAACCTTTAAATATCAGATTCTGCGCATCGAAATGCAATTATGGATTTTATAAATGACCAATCAGAAACATACAAGTTCTATAGAAACTGGCAGCGTGCTCAAAAGTCTATTTATTTAATATTTTATTTTATTGCAGAAGCATTTGTTTAAATTCATACATAAATGGAAAATAATAATTTTTTTAATAATTAATCATTTTGTTAATAACAATTTACATTGATTTAAAAAATCTATATCATATATATGAAATAAAGTAGTTTCTACCACACCAGGCCTGTAAGAATAATTTCCTGTGCCCCTTAAGAATAAATTGCGATTCAATTCATTCAATTCTTTGTTAATATTAAACATTTTTTTCAATTAAGAAAAATATTGCTACTTGTAAGTATCTTTTTTTAAAAAAGAGAGAATTGCATTAAAGATTTTGTTATAAAATGATGAAAGGAAATATTTCATAATATTCAATAAAGGTACACTCTCACCTCTACTGCCTGCCTGCCTGCGCAGGCAGGCGCCATAAGAGTGAGAGAGAAAAACATTTAATTTGAATTTTCTGACTCTCTTACTCTTATGTGTTACAATGGCTGTTTTCGGCACTCGCCCCGAGTTAACTCCGGGTTAATGGTGATTGGTTAGACCAACAGAATGTTTTTGATGATTGGATAATATTTAACTCGGGGTTAACCCTGGGTGAGTGCCGAAAACAGCCCATGTCAACCTGCAGGCAGGCAGTAGGAGCTGTGCTAGCGCCTTTAGGCTGGAGTGTCAAATCAAGAAAAGTTTTCATAAGATTCAAACATCTGATTGGTCAAAATTGTTTCACTATTCTACAGTAGTGGAACAATTTTGACCAATCAAATGTTTGGAACTTATGAAAACTTTTTTTGATTGGTTAATTCTGTCACTATATTCCGCTTGCATTGGGTGCAAAAAGGCAAAGGGCCCAATATTGTCTCAAAAATCAGCCAATAGAAAAGCAGAATTCCGTTGGAATTATTGACACGAACTATAAAAAATATAGAAAGTGGACAAACCCGTCAAATTAAGTGAAATAAATGTAAATTAAAGGCGCTTGCACACTTCCAAATTTTTGGGCGAGCAGGGAATTTTCACGGTCGTGAAACTTCACGTCACTTGGCCCTGCAAAAAGCTGCGTGAAAATTAACTTTTGTCAGAGCCAATCATATTTAGTGACGTGGGTTTTCACGACCGTGAAAATGCGTGAAAATTCGCTGCTCGCCCAAAAATTTGGAAGTGTACAAGCACCTTTATAGTCCTTTTTCGACTACCTTGTACGTTACCATGGTAACCTGCAGGCAGGCGGTTGCAAAAGTGTGAATGCTGCTTTAGAAAATTGTTTGCATGGCGGGATGATTTAAAATTTTCACTAATCACTGCAGAGATGAGTTATTACAAACATATTTAAATATTCCGTCATGCTCAACTGCATTGCACAGTAGAACTTCTTTCGAGTCAGTCAACTCACTTAAGGCGGTTCCAGAATAGGTGCAAAAGGCAAGGTGGAAGTACAAGTGCAAGTGCGAACCAATGCTAAATGTATAGGAATCGCACTTGCACTTGTACTTCCACCTTGCCTTTTGCACCTATTCTGGAACCGCCTTTACATAAGAATTCGATTTAATGCAATTTACAACATACGAAACAAGAATAATTATCTCTAATAACATTTTTATTTATTAAAAATTATTTTAAAATGGATTTTTTATAATTTTTGATAAACTGTCAACTGAAAATGATAAAACTGAGTCATTTTTATAAAATAAAAATTAAGTTAGGTTCACTTTTCATAAACAGTAAATTTTTATTAATATTTATTTTGATACAAGGAAACTCGAGTTATTATTATCAGAACAAATGTAGTTTATAATTAATAACAGATAAAAAATACTGTGTTCAATTAGCGTACCAATTGTTTAATTTAAAATTGAGCTATACTTTTGTTAACATTCATTTTCTATTAAACAACAATGGTAAGACGTCAAATTATAATCAATGCATTCCCGTAGTATGCTCACAAGTCACAACATGAACTATCTAATGAAAATATAAAATGATAAATTGCTGAAAAAATAAAAATGAATAAAATTCTCAACCAAAAATGTTGACAATGTAATACTGTTTTGAATTATAACAGTTTGTACCTAATTTTTATAAAAACTGATTTTTGACAGATTTATTGACATCAGAATCCAGAATTTTTTTGATATTGCACGGCCCTGGTGGGACGCGCTTGTTCCTTGTTCCATCCCACATTCCATCCATAGTCGATGGACACACAAGAGTGGGTTTATTTTATTTAAAATACCTTCGTATTCAGATAATACAGTAAAAATGTCAAAATAGTGCGGATAGTTACAATTGTTGAGTGTGGAATTAATGTTTAATAAAAGTTGTTCTTATATCTAACGTATATAGATCACGTAAAGTAATTATACAATGGGACGTTATAGAAGGTAAGAATGCATCCATATTCATTTCAGGCGTCTGCAAATAATCAATGCTTTATTGACTGTCTTTTACTCAAATTTTTCAAATTATCAATAAATAAATAACTTTTCATAACATACAATTAATAAACACTCTAAGAGATTTGAAAGAAAATTCTTTCTTTTCATTCAAATTGCTCTGTATCGCTTGTATTTTCCATACTAAGTGACTGCAAAATAGGAAGAAAATTTGCAGTAATGCATTTATTTAACCTAAAAGATGAAAATTAATTTCTATTTATGCATATCAATAAAAATAATGGTACGAATTGTATTTTTTAATATTATAGGTAATAATAAAATAATCTTACACTGTAGTCATTGTTACATTTCCTTTCATTTGTTTAGTTTATACTCAGGGTTGCCACAGGTCAGGGAAATCAGGGAAAAGTCACTGATTTTTTTTTAAAAGTACTGGAAAAAATTAAATGTTTGGAATTTATAAGAAAATTCTGAATTTTTTAGTCTTTTTATTTGCCTTATAAACTATGCAATTGACAAGAATTCTAATACAAACCCTTCATTTTTTCTATTTCTGACAATAATTTATTTCAAATAACTTATGCTATTGAAGAACTGCCATAAAGTTATTACTTATAAATCATTTTTATGAAGTATTTTTTTGAAAAATTTTAATTTCAATTCGGTTGAAATTAGTTTTCATTCTTTCCAAAAATTCAATTATTTATTTATTTATTCTTTCCATGTACACCTCGTAGGTTTTTACATTTATACATCCCTTAATCAAAAATTCAATTATTTTCACAAATTTAGAAAAAATTCTCGTCAACATTTCAATTATCTTTATAAATAGCATAATTCAATTATTTTCAAGAAATATAAAAAAAAAATGTCAACATTTCAATTATCTTTATAAATGAGCAGCGAAATTCTTCACTAAAATTCAATTATATTCAAGAATTTTTCTAAAATTCATTGCAAAATCCAATTATTTTCATAAAAAACAAAATTCATTACAAGAATTCAATTATTTTCAAAATTAATAAAATAAAATTATTATTAAATAATTAATTAATTAATTCAATTATTTTCATAAAAAACAATATTCGGGGTGCTACCCTCTGTACCAAAAACATAAGTTCGAATGCTCATTATGCCGAATTTACAATTTAGAAATGACCAGATACGCGAATCCTCAATAACCTAAATTGTATATTGAATGAAATTCAAAAGTAGGGAATAATCATTTGATATATTCTGCATATGGAGAATATTATTTTAAACTAATTCTTTTTTTCCACAATTTGAAATTATTGCAATTTTTATTTTTGGAATTTCCACTTTACCTACATTTTAATAGATCGAAACGTAAAATATCAGAATTGACATTTAATTGAAATATGATGGAGAATAAATATATATTCACTGAATAAAAAGATTAAATAATTATTAAATGTTTGAATTTAATAAAAACATATTGTTCAAAAGTTACAGTGCGAATTGTACAGAATATATATTAATAAGAAATATAATTTGGCAGAATGTCGATTCGATCGATTTTATATTTGCAAGAAATTCAATTTGACAGAATATCAATTTATAAGAAACACGTTTTCGTAGAACTTTAACTTGTCAGAATTGTAATTTTGTAGAATATTAATATTGGCAAATCTAATTTTGGTAGAAATCTGCTTTATCAGAATGATCACATGTTCGAATCCTCAAAAGTTAGAATTCCATTTTTACCGAAAATGGATTCCACATAAATATTTGGCGCAAATTTTAAAATTCTGATTTCTGATTGGTCGATTTTAAAATTTGCGCCAAATATTTATGTGGAATCCATTTTCGGTAAAAATGGAATTCTAACTTTTGAGGATTCGAACATGTGATCATTCTGATAAAGCAGATTTCTACCAAAATTAGATTTGCCAATATTAATATTCTACAAAATTACAATTCTGACAAGTTAAAGTTCTACGAAAACGTGTTTCTTATAAATTGATATTCTGTCAAATTGAATTTCTTGCAAATATAAAATCGATCGAATCGACATTCTGCCAAATTATATTTCTTATTAATATATATTCTGTACAATTCGCACTGTAACTTTTGAACAATATGTTTTTATTAAATTCAAACATTTAATAATTATTTAATCTTTTTATTCAGTGAATATATATTTATTCTCCATCATATTTCAATTAAATGTCAATTCTGATATTTTACGTTTCGATCTATTAAAATGTAGGTAAAGTGGAAATTCCAAAAATAAAAATTGCAATAATTTCAAATTGTGGAAAAAAAGAATTAGTTTAAAATAATATTCTCCATATGCAGAATATATCAAATGATTATTCCCTACTTTTGAATTTCATTCAATATACAATTTAGGTTATTGAGGATTCGCGTATCTGGTCATTTCTAAATTGTAAATTCGGCATAATGAGCATTCGAACTTATGTTTTTGGTACAGAGAGTAGCACCCCCAATATTCATCACAAGAATTCAATTATTTTCAAAATTAATAAAATTCTTCGCAGGAATTAAATTATTTTCAAAAAATCTAAAAAAAAATTATCAACAGTTCAATTATCTTTTTAAATGAATAGCAAAATTCTTCGACAAAATTCCATTATTTTCAGGAATTTTAATAAAATTCATTGAAAAATTCAATTAATTTCAAAAAATTTAATAAAATTCATGGCAAAATTTCAATTATTTTCAAAAACTTTTCCGATTTTTCAATATTCTACTGTTTTAATAAAATTTTCCAAAAGAATGCCAAAAATTTAAAAATTAGAAAAAAAACTGCGTCTTCCAGGTGCATAATAATCATACTAGGCAACATAAAACAATTATAGTAAAAAAATTCCATGATTTCAAGGTTTTTTTTAATATGCAAATAGAAAATCATTGCAGGGTAAAAAATACCCTGCTTTAAACTCGGTGTTACAAAGTTGAACTATACGCTCGCCGGATTAACAAATATTTCTTATTGACAAAAAATAGTAATTTTTACCTATGCATAAGCAACTTTCAATATTGTTTAAATTATTGGCAATTAAATTTTTTATCCTTCTATTAATACTCTTGTTTGAAGTTTTAAATTGAAAAAATAAAAAATTTAGAAGAAAACCAGTATGTGACCTGGTAAGTTAAAAGGGACCTTACATCCATAATGTATTATAAAGTTTTCGAGAAAAACGCTCCTAAAGTTAACAAGTCGATATTCATATTCCTGCACACGTCGATATAGTTTAAAAACCGTTACTCGTTTTCACAACAAACCTCTAAAATTTAACATTTTTACCCCCTATTATTTTCTACGGGGGTAAATTGACCCAAAAACAGCATTTTTCAATTTTTTGAAAAAAAACGTGTACAAAAATTTGTAAATTTTTAACTAAACTTAAAAAAAACTTGTGTGAAATTTAGTAAAGTTATATTAAAATTTAATTAATATTTTGGATATTTAATATAATTATACAAAATTTCATATAAGACGCCACCTACAGTTGCGAAAATGAACTAAAAATACTCAAAATTTATTTAATTCTTTTCTTGTAATTTGTAACAATATCCAAAAGGAATTTTTCCAATAACTATAATACACTTTTTACAATAACAGAACTTGAACTAGGTCTGTAAATCCCGTAAAGGTTTGTAAATTTGCTTCAACTTCGTAAAAGTCCGTTTTTTATAAAAATGTCCGTAAAGTCCGTAATTTGATTTAGAAAAGACAAGAAGTTCGTAAATTGTACGATATAATTTGGAGAATTTTAGAGAAATTACAAATGATTGGTGAAATTCAATTATTATTAAAAGTAATAAAATTCTACGCAAAAATTCAATTATTTTCAAAAATTTTAATAAAATTCTTGGCAAAATTTCAATTATTATTTTCAAAAAATGTTCATCAATTCAATGATTTTTAATAGGTATCTATACCATTATAATAAAATTTTCCAAAAGAATTCAATTATTTAAAACAAATTTAAGAAAATTCTACGCAAACCTTTAATTACTTTCATAAAATAATAAAAATTTAACAAGAATTCAATTACTTACAAAATTTTTTATAAATTTTTTTATAAACCAACACCTTACTTTTACGGACCAAAGGCCACAAAATCTACAAAAAGTTTATATATAAAAATTAAGGTCCTAAAAATAGAAAAATAATTATAAATTTTATAATTTTTTTTTTATAAATAATTAAATTCTCGTAGAATTTTCTAGTAAAAATTTATTTAAAAATTAATTTCACTTAAAATTTTAGATTATTATTGAATATTAAAAGCATTAGAACGTGAATTTTTAGAAATAATTAAATTTTTAAAAGGTTTCAAATTAAAATCTTTAAAATTTTGAATTTTCATATTTTTAACTAACAATTATGTGGAATTAATTTTTTTTAAAAAGTTTAATTGCGGATTTTTTTTGAAATTATTTTAAGTTTTTATTTTCTAATATATATTTAATTGAAGAATTTCCGAATAATCGAAATTTTGTAAAATTGAATATTGTCAACAAATGGATTTGAAAATTGTCAAAGAACTTTTTTTAAAAATTATTAAAAATAACAGATTTAAAGAAGAATTGTAGTAAAATCACGAAAAAAAAATTAAATATTGTTTAAAAATAATAAAATTCTTTTTAGGGATTCAATTGAGTGCTTGGATACAACAAGGGGACGTACGCTCGGCGAGCCGCTTTAAAGTCAGTCAAAGGTACCGTAAAGTGTAAAAAATGAAAATTCAAAATATTGAATTTTGAAAACTGCCATCTCATAGGAAATAGAAATGCGCATCTTTTTTTCCTTTGAAATTTCTTTGAATAATTAATATTTTTATATGATAATGGAAAAAATGTGATTAATTTTCATTGTCAAATTTCATTGAATTTTAAAATATAAATCGTCGTATCTCCGACAAAAATTAATGAATTCTTTTGATTTTTGGTATACAAATGCATTTGGACCTATAGAAGACGACAATATCGCGGAAATGTTAAAAGTAATTAATTGTTTATTGATTTTTAATTGTTAATACTGACCGGTCAAAAATAATTTTTTCTTATCTTTGGCTGCAAAAAGTATGCGGGGAACTTTAAAATTTAAACAACTTTCAGTGAGACATTTGTTTATTACGATGTAAAGAAGTTTTCTGTAAAATTGCAGAAAGATTAGTTTTATATTTACAGAAATACAATAGTTTTAAGAAAAATGCTCGCGCCGCCAACGATCCCTACCGCACAGATTTTAAGGTTAGTTGCACAGTAAAGTTTTATTTATATATAAATATATGTGTGTAATATTTGCATTGAATTATTTATTAACTATTACATACTATATATACAACATAGCTATAAACTTTTTTAATAATTTTGTAAAACATGTGTATGAATATAAATATTACAAATAATTCTAGCAGTATTTAATTAAATTAAGATTATTTCTGGATATTTATTTTTGTTAGTATATCGTTTATTTACAACTCAATTTTTATCGACTCTATAATGTATTAAAACTATTATTCAATATGCTGTAACAACACTTAATATCCTTTTTAATTACATATTATGTTGAATCTAGTATAATCTAATAATATCTATTAAAATATAATAGTTCCAAATATCACAATTGTCAAAAATTGTTTAAAATAAAAATTTTTTCCGGTTTTTAAACAATAACACTGACATCTAAAAACGTTTTAAAAATTTTATAATGTTTAAAATAAAAACATTTCTTTTAACACAGATATTAATCTTAATTTAATTAAATACTGCTAGAATTATTTGTAATATTTATATTCATACACATAATGTTTTACAAAATTATTAAAAAAGTTTATACCTATGTTGTATATATAGTATGTAATAGTTAATAAATAATTCAATGCAAATATTACACACATATATGTATTTATATATAAATAAAACTTTACCGTGCAACTAACCTTAAAATCTGTGCGGTAGGGATCGTTGGAGGCGCGAGCATTTTTCTTAAAACTATTGTATTTCTGTAAATATAAAACTAATCTTTCTGCAATTTTACAGAAAACTTCTTTACATCGTAATAAACAAATGTCTCACTGAAAGTTGTTTAAATTTTAAAGTTCCCCGCATACTTTTTGCAGCCAAAGATAAGAAAAAATTATTTTTGACCGGTCAGTATTAACAATTAAAAATCAATAAACAATTAATTACTTTTAACATTTCCGCGATATTGTCGTCTTCTATAGGTCCAAATGCATTTGTATACCAAAAATCAAAAGAATTCATTAATTTTTGTCGGAGATACGACGATTTATATTTTAAAATTCAATGAAATTTGACAATGAAAATTAATCACATTTTTTCCATTATCATATAAAAATATTAATTATTCAAAGAAATTTCAAAGGAAAAAAAGATGCGCATTTCTATTTCCTATGAGATGGCAGTTTTCAAAATTCAATATTTTGAATTTTCATTTTTTACACTTTACGGTACCTTTGACTGACTTTAAAGCGGCTCGCCGAGCGTACGTCCCCTTGTTGTATCCAAGCACTCAATTATTGTTACAAATAATAAAACTCATTGCAGAATTTCAATTTTTTTTATAATACTATTTCAATCGAATTTCTCAAAAAATGTAATTATTATTGAAAATTTTATTAAAATTCGTCGAAAGAATTCAATCATTTAAAAATTTGGTAATAAAATTCTTTATTAGAATTCAATTTTAAGAAACATTTAATTACTCAATAAATTATTTATTTTTGTATTTAAATAATTGAATTCTAGTAGAATTTTCTAATAAAAATTGATTTAAAAATGAATTTCAGTTAAAATTTTAGATAATAATTGAATATTAAAAGCAAAATAGCGTGAATTTTTAAAAATAATTGAATTTTTTTTTATTATTTTACGTTTTGATTCTCTAATATATATTTAATTGAAGAATTTATACGAATAATTGAAATTTCATAAGATTAAATATTATAAACAAATGAATTTGAAAATTGTCAAAGAACTTTTTCGAAAATTGTTAAAAATAATAATCGATTTAAAGAAGAATTTTAGTTAAAAATTCTTGAAAAAAATAATTGAATTGATAATGATTTTATAACTCGGTCAACTTTAATTATTATAAAATATGAAGAAATCGATCACTTCGAGTCGAAGACTCGGAGTTATCGATATCTTCATGTTTTATAGTTACGAAAAATTTAATTTCTTGTTTTAAGTAAAATGTTTTCTTATTTGACTCTGACTGGTTATATTTTTGTCAGTAATTGATCCGTAATTTTTTATTTTTGGTCCGTAAAGTCCGTATTTTTAAATACTTTCACTGGTTCGAGCCCTGCACTAAGAGTTTAGAAAGTATCTTTTGTTTACTAATTCTGCACCAGAAAGTCCCCTTGAAACAAAAAAATTTGATTTAAATAAGAAAAATAGTATTTCAGGGTTGCCACAGGCCAGGGAAATCAGGGAAAAGTCAGGGAAAGTAAAATTGGTCAGGGAAGTCGGGGAAAAGACAGGGATTTTTATTTAAGTAACTGGAAAAAATTGAATTTTGAAGAAGTTACAAATGATTGCAGAAATTCAATTATTTTCAAAAGTAATAAAATTATTCGTAGAAATTCAATTATGTTTAAAAATTTTTAAAAATTCTCATAAAAATTCAATTATTTTTAAAAATAATAAAATAAATTCTTCTCCAAATTTCAATTATTTTCAAAAATTTTAGTAAAATCCTTTGCAAAATTTCAATTATTTTCAAAATTTTTTTCTCAATTCAATGATTTTCAATATCTACAGTTTTAATAAAATTTTTCAAAAGAATTCAATTATTTAAAAAAAAATTTTTGATAAAATTCTAAGCAAGCTTCGCAATAATTCAATTATTTTCATGAATAATAAAATTCATCATAGAATTTCAATTATTTTTAATACAATTTTAATTGAATTCCTCGAAAAATTTAATTATTCTTGAAAATTTTATTAAAATTTCTAGAATAAATTCAAGTTTGTTGATAACATTCTTTATGAGAATTTAGTTTTCAGAAACATTCATTTATTCAATAAATGTGACGCGATCTGAAGAAAGGGACCTTAGAAGCAAAAAATTATAGGTTATGTTTGCAATTTTTTAAATGAAAATACAAAAAAAGGATCAACTGTCAATATAAATCATTAAAGTTTAAGTCTTCATTAAAACTAAAATATTTAATAAACACTGATTTTAATTCGAAATAAGTAAAAAGAAACTTTCAAACAAGAAAAAAGTAACTCTAACCCAACCTTAAAATGATTTGCTTCTAAGGTCCCTTTCTTCAGATCGCGTCACAAATTATTTATTTTTATATTTAAATAATTGAATTCTTGTAGAATTTTTCAATAAAAATTGATTTGAAAATGAATATTAGTTGAAATTTTAGATAATAATTGAATATTAAAAGATGAATTTTTAAAAATACATAATTGAATTCTTTCGAAGAATTTTAACAAAATTTTTAAAAATACATTTTTCGAAGAATTTACTTAAAATTGTATTAAAAAAAAAATAATTGAAATCCTGTGAAGAATTGTATTAAGTTATGAAAGTAATTGAATTCTTGCAATGAATTTTTTCAAATTTTTTTTTTAAATAATTGAGATAATGTAAAGAATCTTATTATTTATGAAAATGATTGAATTCCTGCATCGAATTTTATCAATTTTTTTTTTTAAAGAATTGAATTCATGTGGAAAATTTTATTACTTATAAAAATAATTGAATTTATGCAACGAATTTTATTACATTTTATTTAAATAATTATATATTCTTTTGAAAACTTGTATTAAAAATGTAAATTTTGAAAATTTTTGAATTTCAGCGAAGAATTTCATTATTTGTGAAATGTACCTAATTTAATTCTTGCAAACAATTTTTGAAGATATGTAATTTTATTTTTCGAGAAATTTATTTAAAATTGTATTAAAAATAATTGAATTCTTGCTTAGAATTTGATTATAATTTTTGTAAATAATATAATTTTTGTTTGAAAAATTTCATGGAAATTAAAATTTTTATAAAACATGAAGATATCAATCACTCCGAGTCTTCGACTCGGAGTAATTAATATCTTCATGTTTTATAATAATATTCTTATAAGTTGTTTAATTTTAAAAATGTTTGAATTTGAATGTTTTGAAGAATTTTAATTCCTATGGAAAAATAATAATTAAATACTTATTTAAAAATTTAGTTATTGATGTTTGCGAATAATTTTACAGTTTAAGAAATTCGTGAGTAAATGTAATAGAATGTTTTTTTGAGTATCTAATAATTTTTAGAGTGAATCAGAATATTCTTTATGGTCAGGGAAAAAGTGAAAATTTTGTCTGGAAATTAGGGAAAAGTCAGGGAAAAATGAAATTAAATTTCTGTGGCAACCCTGTATTTCTCTTTTATTTTTTAAAAAAACTCATGATTTTTAACAGCTCAGACATATTAGTATTATACAATTTATAGAAACAATCTTAAATATTAAAATTTGTTGAATTTATTTTGACTAATAATTATTTTGCTTCAGCCGCAGCAAAGACAGAGATAGAAGACGTAGGACACGCAGTCGTTCCAGGAGTCGTTCACCACGAGACCGAAGAAATTGGGGAGGAGGTCGTGATCGTGACCGTGATCGAGGAGGAAACAGTCGAGGGGGACGAAATCAACCAGGTGCAAATTTAAAGAAGCCCAAGTGGGATCTGAGTCGTCTTGAACCATTTAAGAAAGACTTTTATATTCCGAGGGACGTCGTTCAGAACAGAGATCCTCGTATTATTGAACAGTACAGAAGTGATAAGGAAATTACTCTACGTGGGCGTAGTATTCCTAATCCTGTATTCTATTTCGAGGAAGCAGGATTTCCTGAATACGTCATCAAAGAAATTAAGTACGTTAAAAGTATTTATTAAATCTAAAGTTTCTTTATTAGCAATCTCTTTAGCAATGCTGTTTTACTTGTATATTAATAAAATAATAAGTTTAAAATTGTACAGGGTATGAAACCCCGGGAATATTCAGAATTTAATTATTTAAAAATTTGTTGATAAAATTCTTTGAGAATTTGATTTTAAGAAACATTCAAATTTTCAATAAATTAATTATTCTTCTATTAAAAATAATTGAATTCACGTAGAATTTTCTAATAAAAATTCTTCCAGAAATTCAACTATTTTCAAAAATTTTTTAAATAATTCTCATCAACATTTCAATTATCTTTATAAATAGCAAAATTATTCGTTGAAGTTCAATATTATATTTAGGAATTTTTATAAAATGCATTGCAAAATTCAATTATTTTCATAAACAACAATAGGGTAGAGTGGGGTAAAAAAGCCACATTTTTACTTTTGATGCTGTAAAATCTGTACTTAAAATTTTTTTCTCAAATTTCCAATTGTTATTGAAAGTTTAGTTATTAAGCTTGAAAATTCTTGACGGAAATATTTTTTATCTCATGAAAAGACTAAGTTATAAGAGTTTTACGAAAGCGCTGCAAATGGCTTTTTTGCACCACCTGGTGGGGTGAAAAAGCCACCCTACGATTTTAGCAAAACATGTTATCAATTTAGGTATTTTTATATTTTTCCTTTATTTATATGACAAATAGTCTTATTTAAACAATATTTTAATAATTATGAAAGAGTTTTTAGCAAGCAAAATTGAAAATTATATTAAGTTTACCTGTTTTCGATTTGCACTGCCAATTTTTCGTACCTTTTTTAGAAGTTCTCTTTAAGTTTCACCACAGATAACATATTTCGTTGCAACCGTTTATTCATTGTTTATTTTTTCAATGCACTAGATGCGACTGTTAAATTTGTCCGTCGAAAATTAACAAGACTGTTTAGTTATCAGAACTGAACCGATAGTCGCCTTCACTATTCTCTTCTCTCCGTGCACGAGAAATTTTGTAAAATAAGAAGGTTAGTTTAAATAGAAAACAAGTGAATTTCACAAAATATTCAATGGATTTTTTGCCCTGGCTTTTTTACACCCAAGACCAGTTATTAGAAAAGCAAAAACAAATTGTTAATTCAGTTCAATTTCCAAAAATTAACATTGTATACGTTTTCGGTATACTTTTCTCCTTATGTACAAACATTTACTTTTATTATTCGTTCACTTAATCAGATTGTAATATGTTTGAAAAGTTCACCAAAATGTTTTCAAAAAAGCAACAAAAAATTAAAATTACAATAAAAACAATATTAATCTAGGTACAACATTCAAACTAGATTCAAAAGTTGCGTATTACCTAATAGTATTTATATTCTAAACAGCTGATAAATCGGCTTAATAGTTTTTAAATAAAACTCAAATGGCTTTTTTACACCATGGCTTTTTCACCCCACTCTACCCTATTCATCACAAGAATTTAATTATTTTCAAAATTAATAAAATTCTGCGCAGAAATTAAATTATGTATTTACAAAAAATCTAAAAAAAAAAATTGTCAACATTTCAATTATCTTTATAAATGAATGGCAAAATTTGATTACTTTCAGGAATTTTAATAAAATTCATTGCAAAATTTAATTATTTTCATAAATAATAGTATTCATCACAAGAATTCAAGTATTTTCAAAAATTTTAATAAAATTCATGGCAAAATTCCAATTATTTTCAAAAATTTTTCTTTAATTCAATAATTTGTATTATTATTATTATTATTTATTATTATTATTATTATTTTATTTACGCTTGTCTGGTGAACATTACGTTCATACAAGAGGAGTTACAAACTTGAGTAAAATATACAATTGAACCTTTATACAATTAGTTTCTAAAACAATGAAAATTTCACGGGAATTCCAGGTATCACAGTTGGTCCCCTTTTCCCCTTTTGTCCCCTTATTTCAATTTTATCACCTTTTGGGGCCATCCATAAACCACGTAGCCTCTTGAGGGGGAGGGGGGGGTCAAGCAATTGACTACGACAAGAGGAAAAAATGGCGCTAATACATGTAATAGCGTACTACATGGGGGGAGGGGGGGGGGGTCAAAATTCCCCAAAAATGGGGCTACGTGGTTTATGGACGGCCCCTTTTCACCTTTTTTGACGATTTGTCACCTTTTTCTCCGTTTTTGGTGATTTGTCCCCTTTTTCACCTTTTTCTAATCTAAAATAAGGAAAAATTATTAATTAACATTCAAATAATTAAAATATTATTAAAAGTTTTTTCTAGAAAAACGAAAATTCTAATACAAAACCTTCAATTTTTTTCCATTTCTGACAATAATTTCTTTTTAAATAACTTAATTCTTGAAGAACTATCATAAAATTATTACTTAGAAATTATTTAATGAATAATTTTACTTAAATACCTTTAATTGAATTTTAAAAGAGTTGCGTTTACAATTATATTCGTAAATAGATGAATTTCGAAAGATTTTAATTTCAAACTTTATAAAAATTTAATTTTTAAAGAATTTCATTAAAAATTTTAAAAAACTTTAATTTTTACAAAAATTTTTTAAAATTTAAATTTTTTAAAATAATGAATTTATAGACGAATTTTAGTTAAAGAAAATAATTAAAAAAATTGAATTTTGGAGAAATTACAAATAATTGGAGAAATTCAATTATTTTCAAAAGTACATAATAAAATTCTTCGCAGAAATTCAATTATATTCAAAAATTTTAAAGAAATTCTCGTCAACATTTCAATTCAATAAGAAAAATTTTTCTTCAAAATTTAATTATTTTCAAAAATTTTAATAAAATTCTTGGCAACATTTCAATGATTTGCAAAAATTTCCCTAAATTCAATGATTTTCAATATCTATTTTAGGTGGATTCCACGTCAGTTCAACACACTTATTTTCATGACTTGTTGGGATTTGGCTGTAATTTTGTAAATTCATTACTTTTATAGTGATAAACAACTGCACCAAATATTTTTTCAAAATTTTGAAAATTACCAAAAATATGGCATTTTCAAAATTTTTGTCTTCTTTTTTTGAAAGTGCTATAACTTTGGTTCTAATTAACCGATTTTGGATTTTAAAAAAAGGATTTCTTTGGTTTTAAGTATATTTTAAGTTAAAATTAAAATAAAATAAAAAAATTCAAAAAATTTTTTTTTTTTGAAATTTTGAAAAATTAAAAATCCGTTTTTGAAAAAACATCATCTTCGATTTTTTTCAAAATTTTACTAAATGTTAGGGCAAATGTGCTTTACATGTCCTGTAAGTTTTATCTTGGGATCTCAAAGGGATTCGGAGTAAAAAAATAAAACGTAACCACAAATTACGAACATATGGGGCAAAATTCCTCACCTGCCCAGGTAAAAAAATGAATTTTCTCTAAACTTTGCTAAAATGTTACTATTATTAGTAGAAGTGTAAATATTAATTTTTTTTGAATTTGATAAAATATTTTTTGAGTTATGGAGTTTCAAAATTTTGATTTTTTTGAAAATATATTTTTTTCGATTTAATATATTTATAAGTAAAATTAATCAAATTTAAAGTATGAATAGTGGTTTTTAAAGGGGTTTTCACGGGCTATAAGCTGGTGACCTTTTTTCTATGAGCCATGTAAGAATCAGAGTGGGACCATGAGAATTTTTGAGGAAAATAATAATTTATCATTATTTTACATAGAAAATGATGATTTATAATTAATTTCTTCAAAAAGATCCATGGTCCCACTCTGAGTTTTACATGGCTCATATGAAAAAAGGTAAGCTTTCGATTGGGATAGGTTAGAAAAAATTAAAAAACACCGATTTTGAGATACAGTAGAACTTGGTTAATACGATTCTGTAGGGACCGCACTAAGAATGCGTCTTATGCGGGAAAAAGTATTAGGTGGGAAATAAAATGTATGTCTTTAATTGCAGGGACCACCATAAATGAGCGTCTTAAGCGGGAAATCGTATTAAACGGGATCGTATTAACCGGGTTCTACTGTATATTGAAATTAAGAATTTGACCTTGAATTTCAAGGTCAAATTGACAGAAAACAACTTTTTTTTCATCACCAGCTTATAGCCCGTGAAAACCCCTTTAAAAACCACTATTCATACTTTAAATTTGATTAATTTTAATTATAAATATATTAAATCGAAAAAAATATATTTTCAAAAAAATCAAAATTTTGAAACTCCATAACTCAAAAAATATTTTATCAAATTCAAAAAAAATTAATATTTACACTTCTACTAATAATAGTAACATTTTAGCAAAGTTTAGAGAAAATTCATTTTTTTACCTGGGCAGGTGAGGAATTTTGCCCCATATGTTCGTAATTTGTGGTTACGTTTTATTTTTTTACTCCGAATCCCTTTGAGATCCCAAGATAAAACTTACAGGACATGTAAAGCACATTTGCCCTAACATTTAGTAAAATTTTGAAAAAAATCGAAGATGATGTTTTTTCAAAAACGAATTTTTAATTTTTCAAAATTTCAAAAAAAAAAATTTTTTGAATTTTTTTATTTTATTTTAATTTTAACTTAAAATATACTTAAAACCAAAGAAATCCTTTTTTTAAAATCCAAAATCGGTTAATTAGAACCAAAGTTATAGCACTTTCAAAAAAAGAAGACAAAAATTTTGAAAATGCCATATTTTTGGTAATTTTCAAAATTTTGAAAAAATATTTGGTGGAGTTGTTTATCACTATAAAAGTAATGAATTTACAAAATTACAGCCAAATCCCAACAAGTCATGAAAATAAGTGTGTTGAACTGACGTGGAATCCACCTTAATAAAATTTTCCAAAAGAATTCAATTATTTAAAAAAATTTTTATTAAAATTCTAGTTTAATTATTTTTATAAGTAATAAAATAATTTCACAGGAATTCTATTATTTACAAATTTTTTATAAATTTCTTGTCAATAATTCAATTATTTGCATAAATTTATAAAAAAAACTCATCGTAGAATTTCAATTATTTTTAGTACAATTTTAATCAAATATCTCGAAAAATGTAATTATTTTAAAAAATTTTATTAAAATTCGTCGAAAGAATTTAACTATGTAAAAATTTGTTGATAAAATTCTTTATAAGAATTCAATATCAAGGAACATTCAATTATTCAATGTAAATTATTTATTTGCATTTTATTTTTATTTAAATAATAATTTAATTCTCGTATAATTTTTCAATAGAAATTGATTTAAAAGTGAATTTCAGTTAAAATTTTACATAATTGAATATTAAAAGCATTACAACATGCATTTTTTGAAATAATTGAATTTTAAAAATGTTTCAAATTAAAACTGTGAAAAATCTGAATTTTTCATATTTTTAACTAACAATTCTGTAGAATTAATTTTTTTCAAAAAGTTTACTTGAAATTATTCCAAGTTTTTATTTTCTAATATAGGGTGTTGTGGGGTGATGTGCAACGTTTTTTTTCGTTGGACGAAAAACATGTCAAATAATTAAATTTTTAAATATTTCAAAATTAAATGACAGAGGCATTATAATAGAATATTTCTGCATTATTCGATTTTCAGAATTTTTAATTTTTCCTACAATCGATATCTTCATGTTTTATAAAAATATTCTTCTAAGTTGTTAAATTATAAAAAGGTTTAAATTTGAAATTAAAAAAAATTTTTTTTAATATGAAAAAATAATAATAATTAAATAATTATTTAAAAAAGAAGTTATTGATGTTTTTGAATAATTTTCCAATTAAGGAAGTTCGTAAATAAATGTAATAGAACATTTTGTTGAGTATCTAATCATTTTTTGAGTGAAGCAGAATATTCTTTATGGTCAGAGAAAGAGTTAAAATTTAGTCTGAAAATAAAGGAAAAGTCAGGGTAGACAAAAATAAATTTTTGTGGCAACCCTGATTAAAATCGAATCATTTTTAAAAAATTCTATACAAGCTTTATGGTAAAAAATTTGAATTATATATGCAAGTTATATAAACAAGTAAATTTTTGTAGGTTTTAATTATTTTTTCTTGAAAATTAATATTTTGTTCTTCCAGAAAATTTTATTAATAATAAAATACGTTAAGTATTAATACATTGTTAATATATCTTTAACACATTTTTATTTGTTGTTTGGTATATTTTTTGTCCCCTTTTTGTTCCCTTTTTCAAGAAAAAATTCCCCTTTTCATCTTTTTTGAGGATAAAAGGTTCTGTGATACCTGTGTTTAAATAAAAGTTGTTTCACTAAAATATTGTTAACCATACTTGATAGTAGATTTTATTTTATTTATTTATTTTAGCTTTAATAGTGTTAATAATTTTTGAGCTCAATTTTTCTTTCAAAAAGTTGTCATAAAAACGAACAAGTTTTATATTTTTGTCGGTTTTTGTACACCCTGTATGTTAATAAACTGTAAAATTTTTTCTCCATTTTTTTAGAAAGCAAGGGTTCAAAGAACCAACTTCCATTCAAGCTCAAGGATGGCCGATAGCTTTAAGCGGAAGAGATATGGTGGGAATTGCTTCCACGGGATCTGGCAAAACATTATCATACGTACTTCCTGCAATTGTACATATTAATAGTCAGCCGAAACTCTCTCGTAAGGATGGACCTATAGCTCTTGTCTTGGCGCCAACACGTGAATTGGCTCAACAAATTCAACAAGTTGCAGAAGACTTTGGACGATCGTCTGCAATTAGAAACACTTGTTTGTACGGGGGAGCTCCGAAAAATGCTCAGATCCGCGATCTAGAAGGAGGCGTAGAAATCGTCATTGCAACTCCAGGTAGACTTTTAGATTTTCTCGAATCGGGGAAGACAAATTTGAAGCGGTGCACTTATTTAGTCTTGGACGAAGCTGACCGAATGTTAGACATGGGTTTCGAACCGCAAATTAGGAAAATAATAGAACAAATTAGGCCGGACAGACAAACTTTAATGTGGTCCGCCACTTGGCCGAAGGAAGTGAAGAATCTAGCTGAGGATTTTCTAAAGGATTATGCTCAGATTAATGTTGGTTCTTTGCAGCTGGCGGCCAATCATAATATTTTACAAATTATTGACGTCTGTCAGGATTATGAGAAAGAATCAAAGTGAGTATTCTCGTTGAATTTTAATTTTTACAGGCCTCTCGGATATTATGACTTTCTCGACTTTTTTCAACTATTTTAAAAAAGACGACTTTTCTTCCAAATATTAGGAGAAAATTCCACTTTTTTTTTGCACAAAATTCAAATTGTTTTGAACTTTTTAGTGTGAAAAAAAAAGTTTTTTAAAAAGTAACTATAGTCAAATATTTTTAAATTTATTTTTGAATAATTTTTCTAAGATAATTAAATTTTCTAAATATATAATTAAACAATTTTTAAATATAATTAAAATTTTGTAAACTTTTATTGAAAAATAATTTAATTTTCTTAGTATTTCTTTAAAATTTTTGAAAATCATATTCTGACAAATTTAAAAAAAAAATTGAATTGTCAAAGATGTTAATAAAAAATCAATATAAAAATTAGCTAAAACCAACTATTAACTACTTTTTTACAATTTACTACTAATTTGATACTTTTTTCAGATTTCTGACACTAAAAGCTACTTTTTTCTTTTTCTTCACAAATTACATTAGTTTAAATTCGCTAATAATTGAAATAAAGAAATTATTCTCAAAAATTTTTTATAGAATTCTTAGAAACATTTTAAAAAATTTTAATAAAATTCTTTAAAACGATTCAATTATTTTCAAAAATTTTAAGAAAATTTTTTTGTCAAGAATTCAATTATTTTTCTAAATAACGAAATTCTTCGCTAAAATTCAATTATTTTTATTATCTACTATTTTTATCAAATTTCACGAAAGAATTCCATTGTTATAAAAAAATTTAATAAAATTCTTTGCAAAAACTCCAATTATTTTCATAAATAATATTTTCATAGATTTCCAATTATTTAAAATACAATTTTCATTTAAATTTTTGAAAATATTAAATAAATTCACTCAAAAAATACAATTATTAATATTATTCTTAATTTTTTTTCAATTATTTTTTAAAATTTTGATAAAGTACTATCTATAGAAATTCAATTATTCAATTCATTATTTATTTTTTTATTTAAATAATTGAATTTTCGTAGAACTTTCTAGCAAGAATTTGTTTAAAAATGAATTTCAGTTAAAATTTTAGAATTTACACTATACTTTAAGTCCGTGAATAATTGAAATAAATAAATTATTCTCGAAAATTTTAATAAAATTCTTTGAAACAATTATTGAACTATTTTCATAATTTTGAGAACTTTTTTTTGGCAAAAATTTAATTATTTTCCCAAATAATGAAATTCTTCGCTGAAATTGAATTGAATTGAATTAATCAATAAATTATTTATTTTTGTATTTAAATAATTTAATTCTCCTAGAACTTTCTGACAAGAATTGTATTAAAAATGAATTTAAGAAAAATTTTTAGATAAAAACTAATTATTAGAAGCGTTATATGTAATATGAATTTTTAGAAATAATTAAATTACAACAGATTTTTAAATAGTTTATCTTTGAAAATTTTGATTTTTTGTAAAACTGTAATAATATTTAAATATTTAACATAAAAAATTAATTATTTATTATTTTCCAAATGTCAGGGAAATACTGAATCAAATTTTTGTGAACGATTAAAACGATTTTTTTTAATAAAGTGTCTGGGACATTGTTTTAATTCCCTAGGAGAATGAAAGGATAGAAATTAGTGACATTTGTAGATCCAAAAACTTCAGGAACATTAAAAAAGTCTATTGTTAAGAAATTTTTGTTAAAAAACAGTAATTCTTAGAATTTTTTTAAAATTTAATTATTTCCAATATTTTCAATATTACATTAAAATTTTTTAGAATTATTATTAAAATTTTTAAGAAAACAATTATTTTTAAAATTTTTAATTAAAATTCTTCTAAAAATTGATTAATTTCTTAAATTGCCCGAAAATTCTTTTAAAAAATTAAATTTTTCTCGAAAAGTGACATAACAAAATTTATAAAGAAACTAATTCTTAAATTTCTTTTATACTTTTTTAAATCCGAGTCCTGTTTCTAAGATTTATAATTCTTATCGTGAAAATCAATTATTCATATCTCAAAAATAAATAACCGTCCATTTTTTAAGATTTCTTTAGTAATGATGTAAATTAATTTTTTAAAATAGTTTATCATTTGTGACTTGGAAAGTAATTATTAGTTTATGTTAATATAAATTAAGAGAATTGTTATCAAAATGAAACTAGACAGAAAGTGGTGCTTAAGGAGTTGGAGCAATATTTTCTTTTTTTTCAGGCTAAATACTCTTTTAAAAGAAATTATGGCTGAAAAGGAAAATAAAACCATAGTATTTATTGAAACGAAACGTAGGGTTGATGAAATTACCAGAAAAATGAAACGAGAGGGATGGCCCGCTGTTTGTATACATGGCGATAAGACACAGCAAGAGAGAGATTGGGTTTTACAAGGTATTGTAAAGTTTACGTTTTTTATTCATTTTTTTCCATTGAAGATTTAAAATTTATTTCATTTTAATATTTTTACTAACTTTAAAATTTTCTTTTTCAACTTAGATTTCAGGTCCGGTAAAGCACCAATTCTAGTGGCAACAGATGTCGCAGCTCGTGGACTTGGTGAGTGAAAAACATTTAATTATACGCGAATGAAATTAAAATGTTCTTTTTTAAGTTAAAATATCGTGAATGTGTCAGTCACGATAAATATCTAACATTAAAAATTGTAGTTTTCAATTCTTGTGTAACTTTCCAAGAGTTAAAATTGCTTAGTTTCTTAAAATTTTTAGATATAATTGTATATAAATTTTAATATGTTCATACAACTTTTCTAGATGTAAATATTTATTGATAATAATCATTTTAAAAATAATATCAGTGGAGAAAGTTTCGTTAACTTAATTACATACTAAAAAGAAGAAATATACAATTTTGATTTATAATATATAATATCAAAAGTTAGTGAAATTCACATCGTTTATAATGAATGATTGAAAGAAAAAAATATTTTTTCACTCGGAAGACAATAATATTTTTGTTCATTTTAAAAATCTAAAGAGAAAAGTATTTTTTTCGAAATTGCTGATCATAAACTTGATGAACTTTACGAAAATTATATAATTGGAAACTTTGATCGTAAAAAAAAATTTTTAAAGGGAATACGAAATTAAGTTAACAAACTCATAATTATATATAACTACAATACACTTTTATATCATAGTATATGATAATTGAGTTTGAATGCAAACTTTTAAAAATAATTTATAATTCTGATGACGAAATAATTTTTCGCAAAGAGCAACAAAAAATAGATTTTAAAATCAAACTTCAATAAGTCTTTGAAGTGGTTTTGCATTTTTTAAACCTATTAATATTGATAATGGCATACAGTTATTAGTCAATGAAAGGTATATTCGAAAAAACTGCTCTGCTCAAAATTAAGGTTACAAAGATCGTGTAATTCAATTCCCTTAAATGTTTCAATTCTTAAGTTGCATAAAGTTCAAATTACAACTATTTTTGTTTTAAACTAAGATGTGACTATTTTTTCGACTATTTCGACCTTTCCTCCAAATATTGCAACAAAATATGACATTTTTAGTATAATATGCAACTTATTTTGGAATTATATTGTGTGAAAAATAACTGTAGACCATGAAGGAGTATAAGGAGACATATCTCCAATGGGAAAATTTCCTGATATTGACTGTACTTCTCTGCAGTAAAATCGACAGGTACGCGAAAAGTAATAGCCTCATGTTCACTGATAACAGCGCCGCCAAACGGGAGAAATAAGTGTAATTTTACATTTTAAGTATTTTTATCTTTGACAGCTGATTGATATTTAAAGTTAGAGGATCCTCTGAGTGTTGTATTGTAAAATAGATGAACAGAATTAAATTGTTTTATACGTTATATAAATAGAAAGGACTTCAAATAAACAACCAAAAATTCTTTGCATTAAATTCATAAATGTCTGTTGGTAAAAGTATAAAAACTTTTACCCTTACAAAATAGTATATTAAATAAACTTATCATTCTCGGTGCTTTGAAAAAACACTTTTTTCAGAAGCATTTTTATTTGCTTTATAACTAGACATGTAATTTTTTATAAAACAATTCATATTACTATTATTTTATTGTTAAAAAAAACTACGTAAACAAAACTTTTATCATGGACAGCATGGAGGGTATATATTTTCTCCTGTAAGGGCGCTAATATCAGTGAACAAATTTCCGGTATGCCAATTTTCGTGCATGGCGATTTTACGCAGTCAAGTACAGTCAATAGGGATATATATATACATACTTCTCCTTATACTCCTTCATGCTGTAGACAAATCTGTCAAAAATGACAATTTCTTAAATAAAGAACCACGCAGGAAATACATTAGTTTTTGGTCCCAGTCGATTTTCCTATAAGCTTTTGAATTTAATAGTTTTCTTCTGATTGAATACAAACTTAAAATTCAAAATTTATAAGAAAATCGACTGGGACCCAAAACTAATGTATTTTCTGCGGGGTCCTTTTTTAAAATTTTAATAAAATTGGTCACAAGAATTTCATTATTCTCATAAATAATAAAATTCTTTAGAGCAATTCAATTATTTTCAATACAATTTTAGTAAAATTTCTCGAAAGAATACAATTATTTTTTAAAATATTAATTAAATTCGATTTTTTACAAGAATTTTAATATAATTTGAATTATTTTCAACAATTTTGATCAAATTCTTTTTAAAAAAATTATTATTATCAAAATTTTTAATAAAATTTCTTCAAAAAATTAAATTATTTTCAAAAGTTTTAATAAAAATTCAATTATTTTAAACAATTCTGATTAAAAAATTTTTCGAAACAATTCAATTATTTTTATAAATTGTAAAATTCTTTGGCAAGAATTAAATTATGTTTGTTAATAATAAAATTCTTTTGAGAAATTAAATTATTTTTAAACATTCTAATGAAATTTTTCTAAACAATTCAATATTGTTCTCAAAAGTTTTTAATAAAATTCTTTGTAAATTTCAATTATTTTCAAAATTTTAAATTAAAATTACTTTAAAAAAATTATATTCTTGTTTTTACGAAATTCAATGAAATTCTTAAAAATATATCTATATAATTATTTACAACAACTCTAATAAAATTGTTTTAAAAAAATTTAATTTTCTATGAATAATTTTAATGTAGATATAGTTTAATAGGAAAATTGTTAATTACAATTAAATGAACACGATTATTTTAAAAACTTAAAAGAAATTCTTCATAAAATTCAATTATTTTCAGAATTTTTAGTAAAAATTATTTTTAAAAAACTCTACTATTTTCAAGAAATATTGAAATAAATGCTTAAAAACAATTCAATTTATTTTAAAGAATTTTAAGAAAAATCTCACCAAGAATTAAATTATTTTCAATACAATTTGAATTACATTTTCTCGAAAGAATTTAATTATTGGAAAAAAATGTTGATAAAATTCTTGAAATAAATTCAATTATTTTCAAATTTTTTTATAAATACTTTACAAGAATTCAATGATTTTCAGTATATTATTGTAATATTTTAAACATGTAAAAAGAAAAATTATTTAAAAAGTTGGAAACAAAAAAGCAAACAGCAACTAACTTTAAACTGCGAACAGATTTTACCGGAATACAACGATTATTAATATAGATAATAATTGATTTAGAGATGAAGTTTAGTTAAATATTGTAGAAAATAATTGAATTCAGGAACAGGGTTGCCACAGGTCAGGGAAATCAGGGAATTCAGGGAAAAGTCAGGGAAAGTAAAATTGGTCAGGGAAGTGAGGGAAAAGTCAGGGATTTTTATTTAAGTAACTGAAAAAAATTGAATTTTGAAGAAGTTACAAATGATTGCAGAAATTCAATTATTTTCAAAAGTTATAAAATTCTTCGCAAAAATTCAATTATGTTCAAAAATTTAAAAAAATTCTCGTCATAATTCAATTATCTTTAAAAATATATAAAATTCTTCTCCAAATTTAAATTATTTTCAAAAAAATTTTTGATAAAATTCTAAGCAAACTTTGCAATAATTCAATTATTTTCATGAATAATAAAATTCATCATAGAATTTCAATTATTTTTAATACAATTTTAATTAAATTCGTCGAAAAATTTAATTATTCTTGAAAATTTTATTAAAATTTCTCGAAAAAATTCAAATTTGTTGATAAAATTCTTTATGATAATTTAGTTTCGAAAAACATTCATTTATTCAATAAATTATTTATTTTTGTATTTAAATAATTAAATTCTTGTAGAATTTTCCAATAAAAATTGATTTAAAAATGAATATTAGTTAAAATTTTAGATAATAATTGAATTCTTTTGAAGAATTTTAACAAAATTTTTAAAAACACATTTTTCGAAGAATTTACTTAAAATTGTATTAAAAATAATTGAAATCCTGTGAAGAATTTTATTAATTTATGAAAGTAATGGAATTCTTGCAATGAATTTTTTCAAATTTTTTTTTAAATAATTGAGATAATGTAAAGAATCTTATTATTTATGAAAATGATTGAATTCCTGCATCGAATTTTATCAATTTTTTTTTAAATAATTGAATTCTTTTGAGAACTTTTATTAAAAAAGTAGATTGTGAAAATATTTGAATTTCAACGAAGAATTTCATTATATTCGTGAAATGTAATTAAATTCTTACAAAAAAATTAAGAGAATAATTCCATTTTTCTAGGAATTTACTTTAAATTGTATTATAAATAATTGAAATCCTCAGAAAAATTTTATAATTTATGAAAATAAAGGAATTCTTTATGCAACGAATTTTATTACATTTTATTTAAATAATTACATTCTTTTGAAAACTTGTATTAAAAATGTAAATTTTGAAATTTTTTGAATTTCAGCAAAGAATTTCATTATTTGTGAAATGTAGGTAATTTAATTCTTGCAAACAATTTTTGAAGATAATTTTATTTTTCGAGAAATTCATTTAAAATTGTATTAAAAATAATTGAAATCCTGTGAAGAATTTTATTAATTTATGAAAGTAATTGAATTCTTGCAACGAATTTTATTATAATTTTTGTAAATAATTTAATTTTTTTTTGAAAAATTTTATGGTTATTAAAATTTTTATAAAACATGAAGATATCAATTACTCCGAGTCTTCGACTCGGAGTAATTGATATCTTCATGTTTTATAATAATATTCTTATAAGTTGTTTAATTTTAAAAATGTTTGAATTTGAATGTTTTGAAGAATTTTAATTCCTATGGAAAAATAATAATGAAATACTTATTTAAAAATTTAGTAATAGAATGTTTTTTTGAGTATCTAATAATTTTTAGAGTGAATCAGAATATTCTTTATGGTCAGGAAAAAAGTGAAAATTTTGTCTGGAGATCAGGGAAAAATAAAATTAAATATTTGTGGCAACCCTGAGGAAGGATTATAATAATTGTAATTTTTAGATTTTATTAAAATTCGTAAATTTTACTCATTTTTCGTAATCTTTCATATTTTCCTGAAAAAAGAATTTTATAAGGGAGAATAATTCTAATGTCAGTAAATTGTCTGGGAAATTAATAAACTGACACTTGTGACCACCCTGGAACTATTAAA